GCAGGATCTGCTTACCCTTCCGAAGCACCTGAGATCACCCCCAGTTTTGGTGGGGTTCGTGTTGCTTAGTCTTTAGTTTTCTATGTTGTGTCATCTGTACTATTATTTGTCTGTTTGTCTTTTTATTTTTGGCCATGGCGTTGTCAGTTTGTTTTCGATCTGTGAGTTTGACTGTCCCTCTGATATCTTTCGTCCCTCTTTTATAACCACTGGGTCGATGTCTCTGCTGGTGGACATTTTGTCCCCGAGGACATCATCCGCCTAGTAGCAAAATTGCATGAATTTACGAAGATCTAACAGGATACTGGCTCGGACGTCGCCCAGTATAAAAAGGTCCGAAACAGACGTCACCATGGACACGGTGTCGTCTGATAAGGCAGGTGTCCCCTCATCACCAGACATGACACATATCCCAAACATGACTCATTCAGATCATCACACTAGTGATAATAGCAATAGTACACATACACAGCCATGTTCAGTTCTCCTTAAAGACATTTTGGATTTTGATGACTCTGAACAACACTGTCTCATTTCGAAATGTGGAACTAATGGCTGCAAAACTTGTGAAATTTGAATAACAGATGCTCAATTCACTAGCAATTTAACTAAAAAGTCTTATTTTACTAGAAGTTACGATGATCTGAATTGTAAATCTATAAATGTCGTCTACGGATTAGAGTGTAACCTTTGCGGATTGGTTTACGTCGGTGAAACGAAAGGAAGGCTAAACAAACGTATGTGCGGCCATAGATCAGATATCAACCTCAATGCAAACGACATTCTGTACCAGCATTTTAATCAGCCTGATCATTCCACCGTTTCTATGACAGTTCGTATTATCGAAAAATATACCACAAGACTAACAATCCTCAACTTGCAACGCCTCTCCGTAGACAAAAAGAGGACTACTGGATTCGACAATTGGGAACTGCGACACCATATGGTTGCAATGACAAAATTGATGGTATAGGTATTCTATCTAGTCCTTCCTGTAGCTCGGTGAATGTGATGAATATTTTCAACTCTACTGCTCGACGTAGACGCAGCCATGGTCATCGTCATTATTCATCACCTACTTTGCATGATGTCTCTATTAATGACTTGCTGCCATTTATACAAAAGCCGTTAGGTATTCATCACATTAGCACGAAACTGTATTCATTAGCCTTTTCAAAACTTCATTCTCTGTTCAATTTATGTTTGGAAACCACTGTCACAAACCCTCATTCAAACCAATACAAACTTACAGCTATCATTTCGGATATTGCAAGTCACAGACTTTTCAAACCAGTTCGCATTGAAAAAGATGAAAAAGAGAAAAGATCTTTTCTTAAACTTTCCTTTGCCAACAAAGGTCTCGATGGCGTGAACTAGGGCAATATCCTTCATCATAAATTAATTCAGTCGAAAATACCTCCTTATTTTAAAGATCTGAGTCTGTACCAATAATTTCTTATACCTATACCAAACCAATTGCAACTAAAATTTTCAACAATTTTACAAACACGTTTTGCAGGATCTCAACATTGACGACTTCAAGTCTAAACCTCCTGATTGCACCTGTGCTGGTTCCCAATTCACATATAATCCGGCTGGCCACGTTATTACCGGAGACCTCAACATTGTCAATAACACTTCCCTGCGAAATTTGTTATCCAAAGGTCCGAAATATCGTGAGCCTAAATCCATCAATTGGAAATACAACTTCAAAATACTGATGGATTCAGTCGAGGATTATGCCAGGCAATGGGCTAAACGCGAGAAAGAAGACGTAGATACTCTTTCCGAATGGATTAAGGCTGTGGGGTCGTTGATACAAATCCGAATTAAGAAACTAAATGGGCCTATCAAAATTGCTTTCTTTAAAAAAGAAAAGCAATACGTGAACCCAAGACCGCTGACTGGTCACCAAAAATTGTTGCTGAATTTTTGTTTGCTTTTGAATTGAAATAATTGATTGTGAATAGAATAAGATAATGATGATGTTAAAAAACCTTTATTAAACATATGCAATTGTGTGTAGATTCTTGCACAAGTCAGTTGAAAGCAATGTTGGATAGTTGTGAATAGAAAAGTGTATATATACAGCTATTATTTGAATATACATTTTAAGGCTCGACTATTTCATTTATTACTTGGGAGTGTACATCATTTTTTCATAACCCTTTTGCAAATTCAAGTTTCTACAAACCGGATGTCTAAAGCAAATGCACAAACCAATCGCAATATGAATTTAAGCACTCAGTTTTCTTTATAATCTGGATGCATTTATTTTATCTATCATATCTTCATATTTTGTTTCCTGGATGCCTCCAATTATTCCCAACTCGTTATTGGAGCTGTCTGTACTCATGGTAGATGTTGTATAGATAAATTTGAATTCCAATTTCCATGTGAAGTGAAAGCATGTGGCATGCAACTTATGAGAAGGTTTCGTATATTTTTCTTGAGAGTAACACACCAGCTTCATTGATACCTCTTATATAAAGACTTATTCTGGTCTCATAAAACATCTCAAATTTTAAGGATATCCGGATTTTACCTAAATAAATCCAAATATTCTACAGGATAACTTGGTTTTGAAGAATATCTTGTTTTCAGAAGTTTTATGAATACCTGAACATACTCTCAAAAGAACCAATTTATATAAAAAGATATGTAGATAGGCTAAAGTAATCTATTCCTGGGGTAGCATGAAAATCCTTAGCATTTCGAAATGTCAATGTTTATAATAGGACAGTGACTCCAAAAAAGAAAAGAAAAGAGAAACAGCTAGAGGTCAGAATACCGTGAGTAATGATGACCGTGCTTGAAAGTCACATATAAAGCTCTTACTGTCGTGTCCTGAATTTGGATAAGAAAAGCGAAAACTCACATTCGCGAGTGAAATTAATATTTATGCATGCACGTGGTATTTTTGCGCAAGAAATAGTAAATAGAAAGCATACGCACTGATACTCTGAATAAGAATACGCATTTGCTTCATCACATATATTAATCTAATAGTTGAATTCGGATGTCAAACTACCTACCTCAAGAGTTTTGACTCCGGATTCATTGCCATTTAATCCAGAATTTGTGTGAACGCAAACCGATAGTGTGCATGTGAACAGGGTGGTGTATAATGTGAATGAACCAAGACGTGTAGGATAGCTGGTCAACACAATGAATACAATTTTCAAAATCGTACCATAGTGCAAATACTTAGATGCTATATGGTTGGTCTATTAAAACAAACAAACAAAAACAGAATTGAAATTTTATAATTAACATACACATTGGAAATAAACACATTTATTCTAAAACCAGTTGTTGGCATGATACGGGTTATGTTCTTCTCATATATTTTATGATGGTATGATACTAAACCCCTAACGGGAGGGATTGTACTTGATTTTCATATGATGAAGACATAATCTTTCAATCAGTTTAATTGAGGTCTGGAGCTGGCATGTCAGTAACTGCTAGTAGTCCTTTGTTCATTTATGTATCATTGTCATTTTGCTTAGTTTCTTTTGTTACCTATTCTGACATCGGACTCGGACTTCTTTTAAACTGAGTTTTACTGTGCGTATTGCTATGTGTTTCTTTATTCTACATTGGCTAGAGATATAGGGGGAGGGTTGAGATCTCACAAAACATGTTTAACCCCGCCGCATTTTTGCGCCTGTCCCAAGTCAGGAGCCTCTGGTCTTTGTTAGTCTAGTATGTTTTTTAATTTTAGTTCATTTATATGTTTTGGAGTTTAGTGTGACGTCCATTTTCACTGAACTAGCACACAATTTTATTTAGGGGCCAGCTGAGGACCACCTCCGGGTGCGAGATTTTCTCGCTGCATTGAAGACCCATTGGTGGCCTCCGGCTGTTGTCTGCTCTTTGGTCGGGTTGTTGTCTCTTTGACATATTCCCCATTTCCATTCTCAATTTTATTCCTATTAATGATTTTTTCCGAAAATTTAGAATATAATATCAATAAACACAAACGTCAAGTATTTACGGATGGACATTTTATTCACAGGCACTTATCTCAGAATTTTTTTTCCCAATATACCTTTATTGTCTCAGAATTTTTTTTCCCAATATACCTTTATATAAAGGTATATTGGGAAAAAAAATTCTGAGACAAGTGCCTGTGATTTTATTTATCAAATCAATCTCTTCTTAAAGTCTAACAATCCATTATATGAACTATTGCTATACAAAATATAAGCAGAGACTTATAAATCCATATTTGTTTTTGGTGGAGGTAGCCGGAGTGCCAGGAGAGAACCACCTATACCTTCGGCAGGAATACTGACAATCTAGTCAATTAAGATTGGAGTCGAGTGCACCTGGCCAGTGCAGGATTCGAACTCATTACCCCCAGTGAGGCCCCGTCGGACTAATGGCCTGTCGGAATAATTGCGTGTTACCCTATTATTCACATTATTTTTACACACGCCAAATTGAATGCCAATATTTGTTCGGTATAATAAAATAGTTACGGTCCTATGAGTCGGGAGATGTCCAAAATTGTGAACCCTGCTGTGTAAGGGTTATTCCCCTCGGGCTAAACCGAGCGCTCTGAAAAATAATCCATAGCACAGGGCTGACAATTTTGGATATCCATCTCCTCAGAGGGTCATAATTGTATATTAAATATTGTTATCAATGTTGTTGATTTAAAGAAAATGATGAGTTATTTTGTATTTGATAGAATTAACATTTGTAATATTTCTTAACCATGTACAGTAGGCAAATTGTTCCACAAGGATGGTCCAGAATTACATAAAAGATTTCTTCATTTTACTGCCAAGAAATACATTTAATTTATCCAATTGCCTGCAGTCAATAATAAATCTGATAATGTTCAGTAATTGAATTTGTTGTCAGGTTTAAGCTACAGTATGCTGTAAAAACAATTGCACGAAAAAAATGTTCCAATCCAGTTACCCACTCTATATTTTAGTAAATGCCAAAAATTATGGAAAAACGTATCCATGAGTGAGATCGGACAAGCGCTGAAAGGTCAAGGTAGTTTAAAGGGGCGGACAATGCATTGATGCTGGATTGTGTTTCATATCTATTTAACAGATTAATTCTGTTTTATATTCGAATGAAGTGGAATATTTTGTATAATTCAAGCAAATGCAAGAAACAGTAGGTCTATGAATCTGAAGACTAATAAAGATTCGACAAGTAAGTTATCTGTAACATCTTTTACGCTTTTGGATCATTAATAGACATTATCTCCAAGATCGTTTGGGATATATATAAATATGTATATAGTTTTCCATTGCATTACGACTAAATCCGAAGTGCAGAAATTTGATATTTAGACATCACGACCCCCCCTCCCCCCCCCCCCCCATAAAATCTTATTAACGTGCCATAAAAATGTGTTGATGTTTATTTTTTGCATTTTGTAGTATTTTTCCAAATTAAAAAAAAAAAAAAAATATTTGCTTTGTACATTTGTATCTTATTTGAAATATAAATTTAAAATGTAATATGAGTTATGTATCTATCATCTCCATTCGGTTAATGAATATTTTCTTTGATTTCTTTGATTTTGAATTTTTATTTTATATCTTAGTTCAAGGATTTCCTTGCATGGTTTTATAATTATTTATGAAATAATGTATTTTGACATTAAACAGAATAGGCATAGTTATACTTTTATACAAATTTGTCTGCTATTATTTTAACTGTGCAAATTCCCACAAAATATTGTACATGTACATGTATCACAATTTAAAGCATTTGATGTCCAAATCAAATATTTATTGTTGCATGATGTCGAAAGGTTATACGGAGACAGGTCTAGAATAATTCTGAGACAATTCAGCTTAATACACAAAAGATAAGATACGCATACAAGTTCTGTAATATACAGGAATAAATTCCCAATGCTACATGTATATTTTTGAATACAATGTGTATATCTTTTTTTTTAAACGATAGAAAAAAGGTGATGCAAATATTTAACTTAATGATAAGAGCAATTTGTCTTAATAATATGTTTGTTGGGGTAAATGGTGCAGGAACATATACATGTATATTAGATATACTGTTCCCAGGATGATGAAATTACATGAAGTAGCGAAAAAACTCTTTTTACACTTAAAAAGTAATGTGATAGTTGTTCTGTTGTATGAATGACATCACATGCATTTAAATTGACCCGGATGGACACGTGAAAAGTGACGTTGCTGCATTGATATTGATGTCATTGCATAATATTTTTCAAGTATATCATCCTATCTACAATCTAAAAAATATTAGGCAGTACTATAGGATCTGAAAAAGGGAAAATGGACAATTTGTCCGAAAAGAATTAAGTATTATAAGACTTCATTTCCCCACTTATAAAAATAAACACTTGAAGCAAACATTTATATACTGTATATAATATAATGTGTACAATGTATATAAGTATATAAGTATCTTATTTACAAAATGTAAATCTTCATATTATAATGATGTTCAAAGTCGAATACTTGATCAAAGTTTAAAAGAAACTTTGCCAAACTACACATTACAATCAATTTAAGCAATATCCTAAGAGTTGAGGGTATAGAAATATGATCACTTGGAGTTCACCCATCTGACATTAAAACCTATGCTGAAAAGAGGATTTGGCTGTGTGGGATTTATATCTCTATATAAATTATCGCACCACATAGCTGTGGGTGAAATTATCCTTTAGGATACCTAGCTTTTTATTTAAAAAACAACTATATTTCCAACATAGAAAATAACAAATTCTAAGTGTAAGTTTTGGCTCAAAGTGTTAATAAAGTTAAAAAGATACAATGTAATTTGAGTTTTGAAATGGTTAAAAGGTTTATTGTTCGTCAAATGTGGAAAAAAATGAAAATGAACATGAAAATATATCAACTGCTTTTGCAAAATGGCGAAGTGAAAAACTACTTGATGTATCTAATTCCTTTTTTCATCCCTTCAATAAGAGTTTTATTGCAAATTATATTTCAAAATATTTCATATAATTTTGATTACTTTCGAGATTAGTATAGTTAACCTGGAAACAAAATGTCCATGTTTGTCTGACACACTTATCTGTATTGATTTTTATCTCATATGTGACAATCCTGCGGTGGCGTAAACTATTTGTATAAAGCTTTATATTTCAGAGGGTAGAAGACCTGGATGTTTCATCCCTTATGTTACAAAATTTCCGTCTGTCATGTGTTCATTGTCCTTGAGCTTAATTTCATGGTTCAGCGACTGCTTGAAAATAAAAAATCTAGTTTTTCTGTCATGTGAATTTCTCACTTATTATGAGTAATACATGTAGGATAACTATATTTGGTATATATTTATATATATATATATATATATATATAGGTTCCTTTCAAAGTCTACATATCCGTCAGACAAGGTTCGCCTGACCTCAACCTCATTTCATGGATCAGTTATCAAGGTTAAAGATAGATGATTAGGTCCTTTCTCAGATACTATAAGCAGTAGGTCAACTACATTTGTATAAGGAATGATTGTAAGGGGTACTTTTCAGTCTGGCAGGTTTCATCTGACCGTGACCTCATTTTCATGGATCAGTGGACAATGTTAAGTTCTTTGTGTTTTGGTCGTTTTTTCAAGTGCTATGAGCAATAGGTCAACTATATTTGGTGTATGGAATGATTTTAAGGTGTACATGTCAGTCTGGCAGGTTTCATCTGACCTTGACCTCATTTTCATTGATCATTGGTCAATGTTAGGTTTTTGTGTTTTGGTCTGTTTTCAAGTACTATAATCAATAGGTCAACTATATTTGGTGTATTGTATGATTGTACATGTTTGTCTGACTGGATTTATCTGACCTTGACCTCATTTTCATGGTTCATTGGTCAATTTTAAGTTTTTGTATTTTAGTCTGTTTTTCAATTACCATAAGCAAAAAGTTAACTATATTTGAAGTACAGAATAATTGTCATGATTGTTAGGTGTACATATCTGTCTGACAGGATTAATCTGACCTTGACCTCATTGTCATGGATCTTTAAAAATGTTAAGTTTATGAGATACTTGTATTTAAACTTTATCTTTGAGACTTTCAACATATCATCAATGGTCAGTAAAGCAGGCGAGACATTTTAGTGTGTGCACTCTTGTTCTTCAATGTCAAGCTTTTCAAATCCTTTTAAGTCCATTTACTTAAGTTTTTGAGAAAAGGCAGTGATATTTTATTTGAGTTTAACATTTGTTTAAGAAGATTCTTTAGATTATGCCATTAACATGATTAACAGCAGCAAAATGGATGAAAACTGTCACTTTTAATGTCCTTGTTTGTCCTACACAATATAGGACACCACAGGTATTTTGAACTATTTGATCATTTTATTTATTTTCAAGCATATTGAGCAATTAAAAGACACATTTTCAAATTTTAAGAATTGTGCTGGGCTTAAATAACTGATTTCAAAACATTTCATAGTTCTGAATCCAAAGAGAACTTGAAACAGATGGATAAAAAATGTCTCAGTTTGTCCAATATATTTTCATTTTTTATTTATTTTCTGTTTATCAAATTTTATGAGAATCAATACTGAGTTTTCTAAATTCAGAGCTGAAACTGATAGATCCATGTTTGCCTCCCTTTAATTCAACTATAAGAGAAATATGAAAACTTCATTTTCAAAGTTTGACCGACATACATGTAGCACAGTTAATTGACTCCTCTTATATTTTGAGGAAGAAATTAATTTTCCAAACATTTAATGTTGAAAAATACAAACTACAATGTACAATAATATTTCTACAATAGAAACCAAATAAAACAAAAATATTTGATCTATTTTCTATGTCAAATATGTCAAAGGTCACACATTGCTAACACCATATTGATTACTTTGCCAGATAATGACAATTTGTGTCAAATGATAAATTAGTGAAACTTCAAAGATTATCAATGATTAAGAAGTATTTCTAAACAATTTTGAGAAATAAATGGTTAATCTGCAATCAATTCTTTGTTGATTCATTTAGACAATTGTAGGAGAATCCAACAGGAAATGAGTTTAAAATATGCTTTTGATAGATTGTAAATTCATGTACATCTACAGTGCATAGGGAAATTTCATAACAAGAATTTCATTATCTCAAGGTAACAAAGTTATTCTTTGATTTTTTTTGTATTTGGTATACATAGTTGTTATAAAGATAAGAAGATGTGTCATGATTGCCATTGAGACAACTCTCCACAAGAGACCAAATGACACAGAAATAAACAACTATAGGTCACCGTACAGCCTTCAACAATAAGCAAAACCCATACGGCATAGTCATGCAGCTATAAAAGACCCTGAAATGACAAAGTAAAACATTCAAACGAGGAAACTAACGGCCTAATTTATGTACTAAATAATGAACGAAAAACAAATATGATACACAGCAACAAACGACAATGAATTGTTACTTGGAGGGATAGGGAGATTTGTTACTTTGTTTGATACATGTACTCTCATTATAGAAGACAACATGTGTTTTATTTATTTGAATTCTGTGGTTGCTGTTTCATTGATGAATACTTCACTTCTCCTATTATTCATATTGGAGTGTGCTTGCTTTTCATGTTGTGTTAAATAGGCTGTTGTTCATTGTAGGGATAAGTTACATGTACAAGGGCGGATCTAGGATTTTTGAAAGGGGGCATAATTCCCAATAATTGAAGATATAGAAATACAATTTTTTGAACGATTTTATACCAAACATTTATAATATATATTTTCAAAAAAAAACATGATATTTGAAATTATTTGGTAGATCAAAAGGGGTGAGGGGGTATGCCCTCTATGCCCTGGATCTGCCACAGATGTATTAAATGTAAACTTCACATTTAGATATTTATAGGAAGGTAAACCCCTTGAGTGGTAAGGAAAATACAAATCTTTTAAGATAAGTGAATATATATATATATTATACAACGAATTTATATTGTTGATTCTATTGCTTTCAAATGATAAGGAAAATAGTAATCTGAACCTAAAAAAAAGGAGAGCAGGAAGAATTAAACTGAGAGTTAAAGAAATTGAAAGACATTTGATATTTTAAGGAAATAAAATATGGTATGTGTACAATATTGGCTTTTCAAAGTGGGTTTACATAGTATATGTACATGTATCAAAAATGTCCCCAAAAATGAATTCTTCATAAGGAATATTTTAAAATGCCTGTAGCCTTTGGTTCTAAATGTAAATCGTGATATATATATATATATATATATATATGTGTATCGAAACATGTTTTTGCATACGTGATGGGTGTCTACAGGATTTCAAATTCAAGCAAGAATTACAAAAAATAAAAGGCATCAACATGCATTAAATAACATTTAGTGTGAAAATTTGATTAGATTTTAATGTAAATTGAATGTGTTATTTACGAGTTGTTCAAGTTATATCATTCAAATTATAAGGTCATTGACTTGCAATCATTTATGCACATGATTCAACAGTTGTCATTCTGTCAGAGGTAAATATTAGTTATTGATAGCTATAGATCCTTTGATGTTTGTTATTATTTTCTGAAATTTTTCAATGGTAAGTGTGTTAAAATATTCCTTGTATATTAGAATTTTCTGAATTTCGTAAAAACTTTTAAAACTTTTTACTTTGAAATTTTAGTAATTAGTGATTGCAGCTTTACATTATGAAATTTCTTAAAACATTTTTAATATGAAGGAAATTTTTATAGTCTCTGGATGATTTAGAGCTTGAAATGTGGTATGTATACCTGATTATTGGTATTTTTGTTGTTGGGTTGCTGTCTTACTCTTCTTGTACTCTTATGACATTGTCATTTCCATTGGCATTTGTCTAAAGATAGTATCTTTCATTATTGTTTCTTTTGATCTATTTATAGAATAAACAAAGCTCTTAAGGATTGTTGCACTGAATACACTTGTATAAAAGAACTCTTCTGTTTTTTAAGGATTCTGGCTCTACCAATTTCTTTTAAAAGGGGAGCAAATGGGATCCAAATTTTTTTGACCTCACTGGTTTAGATATTGATGTAGTTTCCCTGTGTAAGTTAGATTTGTAGTATATATCAACAGATTTGTATTTCATGTATCTTGTTATGTTGTGGTTCCGATCTTTATGACACCAAAGGGGCCAAAAGTTTAGCCGTTGTGACTGGAATATGAGATGAATGTGATAGGCCATACACAGTAATGACATAGGCCATGTGCAGTTAAGTGACTTGAAAAATTGATGTATTGCTAGGCTTTCTGCAGCCCGGCCCCACCCTCTGAGTGACTGTAAAATTAAATATATGTGAATTGCCATTAGCAGTAGTGACTTGAAAAATTGATGTATGTGATAGGCTATGTGCAGTAGTGACTGAAAAATTAGATGTACATGTATGTGATAGGCTATGTGCAGTAGTGACTGGAAAATTAGATGTATGTGATAGGCTATGTGCAGTAGTGACTGAAAAATTAGATGTATGTGATAGGCCATGTACAGTAGCCATGGTAGCAGGGCTAGGGCTTTTCAAGTCTCACGCATTTAGCATGAGACTCACGCATTTTCATGCTTATTTGGCGGCATTTTCCTTTGATCTATTGTTTTTTCTCTTTGATCTTTACGATTTTGGCCAAATCTCACGCATTTGCATTATTAAAAGTTGGCAGAACTGCAGTAGTGACTGAAAAATTAGATGTATGTGATAGGCCATGTGCAGAAGTGACTTGAAAATTAGATGTATGTGATAGGCCATGTGCAGTAGTGACTCAAAAATTAGATGTATGTGATAGGCTATGTGCAGTATTGACTGGAAAATTAGATGTATGTGATAGGCTATGTGCAGTAGTGACTGAAAAATTAGATGTATGTGATAGGCCATGTGCAGTAGTGACTGGAAAATTAGATGTATGTGATAGACCAAGTGCAGTAGTGACTGGAAAAGGCAATGTATGTGCAAGGCCTTTTTGAGTTGAAAAAGTTCTGGATGGTTTACTGGACGTTTAGTCCAGTGGAAAATATTATTTACTTGACAATCTAATTATACGCTGAAAATTTCATAAGAATTATTGAACATTCAGTCTAGTAAAAACCTCTTTTTGCTAGCCGTGTTCCAACAAGCATTTTACTGGTTTTGTCCTTTGAACTGCAGCTGCTGTTTTTTGTAAACTGTTCTAGAAATTGAAAAAGTACATGTTGATGTTTGTGCAAGACCATGTGTAACACAGTGACAGGAAAAGTACAAAATGGCAGACAATCTTTGACAGTTTCATACTGCATCTGACAGTTGCTCCCCCTTTGAATATTTGCTCCCAACATGATATGGATGTACATGTCATTCTACTAAAGAAAAGGTATACCTTTATTGATTTTGATTATCAAAACTGTCAATATAAGGAAGGTTATTATACCTGTAACTGATAAGTAATTATTGATAATGGGAACTACTGCAACAGAGAACTTTACAGAAAACTTCTTCACCAATATGTGCCTTTATGACATCATTTACTAATTACTTGTAGATAAGATACTATTTCCCTGCAGTAATTGAAATGAGTGTTTCTGCTCACCTGGAAGAAACTTAAGACACTAAAGTATCATTTGCAAATATGAGGTAGGTGCTACATTTACCTGTGTTATTATAACTTATATTGTCATCATTCTTTTTAGTAATTAAGAAAACCAAATTTATCAAATTTGTGTTCAAATTATTTGATTAAAAAAAAAATCGAATTGAAAAGGATTTCAAAATTTGATTTTGAAACTGTTAAAATAATTTCCTTTCAATAAAGGTGGCACTATATTGTAATAGCAACAAAATGGCTGCCCTCATCCAATCATGGAAATATTGCTGTGCATATGTGGAAATAAAACAATAGAAAGTTGAAGATTTTGCATTCTCAAGTAATCAGATTTGTATATTGATAAATATAATAATCTGTTGTCCTTCTGATGGGTTTATACAGCATTTCCAGGAAGTTTTGTCTTTCATCTCTTCTTTCTCTCTTTCAAAATAGTTTGATCAAGAAATTAAACAAAAATATTACAAAATAAAAGATATATCATGGTTAAATGTTGCTTTATAAACACAGAATTATGAAATATTGCAAATTGTCTGATAATGTATAAAGATTGCGGTAATAGACAGCTGTTACACCTGTACTACAGTTTGACTGATGAGGCATGAAAAGTCACAAACATAAAAGTCAAACCATGAATCATCCAAGGTAGTTCAGTGACCTTGCAGTTTTTGTTGGTAATTGATTTTGGGGGTAAGGAGAAATAAATAATCAGAAAATTAACTTAAAAACACCCAATTAGTGGCCATAAGTGGAGGGTGCAATGTGTCTTTGATCTACCCTGTGGGTAATTAGGATAAATATTTCTACCCATTGAACTCAGGTTGGTAGGATAAATGGAAACATAAGTATTTATTTTTGCGGGGGGGGGGGGGGGGGGGGGGTTGTCTTATGTGAAATTCATGAAATTGTTAGTTGAATAATAACTGCTTAAAACAGAAATCTAAAAACTGCATTTCAGAAAGATTTTGGTAAATTGTGAGGATTTATAAAAAAGGAAATGGGGATGACATTTTAATCAAAAATAATGATGCTATAGGAAGTAACGCTATGTATATTCTTTCATATACAAATAATTCATTATGGTTCAGGATGTCCTTTGATTCAAAAATTTACAAAAAACAAAAAATTCAACATTTTATCAAAATGTTCATCAATGATGTATTGCACTGAAAAACATTTAGATTTTTTGGACATATGAAATATTGTTGCAATATCCATGAAAAGCAATGACTCATTTCACTAAAAATCTTAGGAAAAAAAATTCTCCTTAGTCATGAACATTTGAGTATCAATTTGAATCAATTTTTATCATCAGATTTTTTGTGAAAAGAACCCAAGTACATGTACTGGTATTTAGTTTCTTAAATAGTTAAAATTCCACTTTAGGCTTGATCATAATTTGGATTTTTATCCCGTAAATATAAAAGAGTAAGGGGAAATTGGCTATACTTCTTTAAATGAAATGACTTGTAAAATTCCTTTTTTATGCCCCCTTCTGTAGCCGAGGGGGCGTTAAGTTTTACCCTTGTCTGTCTGTACGTCAGTACGTCCTTAAATTAGTTTCCATTCACTAACTTTAATTTGCCTCAACCAAATGATATGAAACTTATACACAAAGCTTATTACCACAAAACACAGATCTAGTTTGAATTTGGGTGGCATCACTTTTACTTTTCTAGAGTTATGCCCTTTAAATGGAAAAATTGCTTATACACAATGCTTATTACCACAAAACTCAGATCAAGTACGAATTTGGGTAGCGTCACTTTTTACCGGTCTTGAGTTATGTCCCTTTATAACGGTATATGCAAGAGGGGCATCATCTGTGTCCCATGGACACATTCCCCATTTATTTGGAATAATTTCAGTCCGTTTAAAAGAAAGTTGCATTTGCTTGCTTAAAGTGAAACAACAGCGGACCCTGTGGACTTTTGACCCACTATGGCACAATTACTATGCATATAAAAATTATAGATTTTATCATGGCTAATGAATAAGTTTTTAATAGCTTAAACATACTTAATTGTTCAAAAGGGCAAATGGATCAGACACAAGTTTTTCAACTTAGTAACATTCTCATCAGTTTTTAATAGATGTGGTTTTAATTTTAAGTGCCTCCTTTGGCAAAGTTTGCAAAATTTATTTTGTATTTTATTTGATGGGTGTATAAAGAACTCTATGAAGTAAAAAGTATAATGCAGTGACTCATTTAAATGAAATTGTTCTGATCCCGAGTAGGTGTGGGAGGAACTCTTGATAAGTTAGTATTGTGATCAATACGGATATGTTTAGGACACCTACAAGTACCTGTAATACACCCAGTCTGAATGGAGTTTTAAATTTCACTAACTTTTCTCGTGTATGAATTATTTTTTATATGTATATGTAAATGACCAGTGGAGTATATTTGAAACAGATTAAAGTCTTGACTTCTCATAAAAACTGATTTTAGAAAAGAAGCTTATCTGAAAGTAATTGAATTTAGATATTCCAAATTTAAAGCATGGTTTCTCATCAACGATTCTTTGTTGCTCTTCCAAGAAGGTTCAGCTTTTCAATGAAATATTCCCCGCTCGTGCGGGTGCACTCGACTCCAATCTTAATTGACTAGGATTGTCAGTTTTCCTATCGAAGGTCGGTGGTTTTCTCCAGGCACTCCGGCTTCATCCACCAATAAAAACTGGCCGACACGAAATAGCCCAAAAGCGGTGCTTAAAAGTGGCGTTAAAACACCAAAAATAAAAAATAAAAAAAATCAATGAAATATTATTTAACCATTTTAAGTTGTCATAGTTGTCATGACTGACAGAAAAAAATGAAAGTACAAAATGTACTAAAGTTGTATAATATATACTTCAAGTTCTGCAATTTTTGTTATCATGGACAAAATTTTTACTATATCACATATATTAATTCAGAAAGTTTTTAAGTTTGTGCCACACATTTGTTTTAAACACTTGATAAATCTCTATTGATAAATTTGTTATTAACATGTAACAAAAAAGAATATTAAAGTCATCATTTTTTTCCAATGATAATTGTTTGAAGAGAATTTCCCCCCTCAAAAGGCCAGTATATATTGACTTTAAAAAAAATATCTTTAGATAAAAAGTTTCTATTTTTATGCAGTAATGCAGTATTAAATTTTTTTGTTCATGGTTATATAAATCCTTATGTAGGCTCAGAGTATTTCCATTGAAGATAATTCCAGGAATTTGACTTAACATAAACTTTAAAGAATCAATGTGGACCTACAGTAATGTCAGTTCTCAGTCAATACATAAATTTTCAAGAATCAATGTAGACAGACAGTAATGTTAATTGTCAGTCATATGATAGACTTTACTAGTGTATGTAAATATAATAAGTTATGAATGAGAGGCCTTTTCATTTCTAGAGTGTCTGGAGATCTAATTACATATATCAACTGTACGTAAGTAAATCCTTTAAAATGTATAAAGTATTAAAGAGGGTATCAATGTATTTGATTTCATCTATTAATATAAAACTGAAACAGTAGGTTAATTACTTGGTGATATTAAAAACTTAGTACAATGCCATATACTGGACCAATTCTGAGACTTAAAAAAAATGGAAAATCAAATCACTGGTCTTCTTAGTCTCACTTAGATGGACTTAAATAGAATTGGTTTATGTTTACATCGGACCAATCATCTATATATGGTGCAAAGGTACACATCATTTGTTAATCCAAAACTTTATACAAATGATTAATTTGTTTATCTAAAACTTAATACAAATGTTTAGTACCCAGAATAAATTGATATTGGACAAAAACTCTGTAGATATATATATACAGTCTAAGAAAATATGTAAGGGTATTTATGGTATCCATGGTATAGAGCTTTAATTTAACGTTCTTTGTTAGTTTTTTTGTTTTATTTAACTTCAAGGTCTATGTTGTAAGACTTTATACAAAAGTAATTAATTAACTTTTTTTCTCTGTTACCACTAGATGACACAAAATTTTATTATAAGGTACCACTTTTTTTCAGTTTTGAATGAAACACTTTTTTTTTGCCTTAGTTTAGAAGTATTAACTCTTACTGTGTAAATTTTCAATTTTAGGTTTTTGCATAACTTTTGAGAAGACTAAAGCACTTACCCCAGGTACACATTGATTCTAAAATCTGAAAGGAGATGTTTTGGAAATATCACTGAGATAGCGACTCAGTGATATAGCAGTAATTTCCCCCTTCAAATAAAAGAAAAAGAAAAAAGACATCTTTTCTTTTAGGAGCTAGATAAGTAACATATCTTTACTTTAAACGTCTGTTCTATTGAAAATTTTAAAGATATGTTCTGTTTTTAGATAAATCTTTATATATAACAATGTATAAATTAAGATATTTTTGTAATTGTGGTTAAAAATATTGTTACTTGAAAATGTCAAAGTCTGACTGTCAGAAAAAAACAAGATTATTTTTAACATGATGACTGAAATACCAGGTCATGCAGTGAATGTTAGTGTTTATACTGAAAATCGTGATCAGTTGCTTTTGATGTGCTCGAAAACAAGTTAGTTGTTTCACTTAACAGCATCACTGTTCCTGTATTGTGGTTAAATAGCTAATAATGAGTTACCTGAGGTCAGTTGAGTACACATGAGTAAATAATACTGCAATGTTCATTACTATGTTAATTGGACAGTAAAGATTTTTGTAATTATAAATTTTTCATAGACATGATAGAGAAGCAGTGATGGAAGGATTAACATACATTTCTGTGTTAATCGTATTTACAAATGTCCCGATAGATTGGAAATTCAAAGTAAGTTTTTTTTATATAACATACATAACTTGTGCGGCTTCAGAATCAATGCATGAAGTGTCTTCTCTTTTGTGTCTGACAGTGAGAATTGGTGAGACTTTAGAGGAGATTAGTGCTTGTTTGCCATCGCCACAACAATGTTTGCATGCTACATATATTGCCATTTGTTCCATACAGTTTTATTCGCTACAAGTTCAATGTGTTTTATTTCTGTCGTGTAGTACCCCTAGCAGCAGAATTGTTGCTGGTTTACATGTTTATTTGGTAAAAAAAAGTTGTGAATGCAATTTGACTGTACAGTATTGGTTTTGCTAATTGTTGAAGGCCGTACAGTGACATATAGTTGCTTAACTCAACATCATTCAGTTGATTCATTGGTAGTCATACCACATTCGCTGAGTTTATTTAAATAAACTGTTTCAATTAAATGAACTTATTGTTTATTTTTATATTAGAAAAAACAACTAAGAAATATCTTTCTGCTAACCTGAGATTAACCAAATGGTAAGTTATAGTAATCTTCTCTTCATTGTAAGATTAAGACTACTAACATGCATTAGATTAAGAGTTACATGTACATGTAGAAGTATATATGTTCTTATCTGCCCTTAAATGACCGGTAGTATTTAACCAAATATTTTTCTTTTTTGTAGGTCAGGGGGTAATCCTTGATTTAAATGGTAGAAGGTTATTTGGAAGTATAACAAGGTCAATTTTTTAAGAGGCCTGTCATAATTTTAACACTTTGATGGAGGCTAATTACAAGGGTGACGCGACAGGTATCGTTAATTTCAGCAGGAGATACCAGTAACAATCTACCTGATGGTTAAAAAATTTGAATAATGAATAAGATATCATATGGATTATAATATACCTGTGAACGAATAGGTTTTTAACATGGAAAACTTGCCGATAATAAACATTTCTGAGTGGATTTAAGTCCAGTACATATCACTGTTGGATTTCGCTAGCAATACCTAAAGTTTTCTGTTTCATAATGAAAAGAATATAGAATAATATAATATAATCTTTTATGTTTAAACGAGGGTTTGTTTTAATCGTGTGAAAAAAAAGTTTATAGAACAAATTCCATAAGTAAATTTATTTGATAATGGGAGCCGTCAATAGCTGCTGTATCCCCAAAAATAGGGACTACGATCATGACAACAAAAAGCTTAAAAAACACAGAAGGAACTTAAGTGCAACTTTTAATATGTCCATGATGGATGAAACACCCCAAAACATGATCAACATCAATTATGCAGCGGAAGAAGAATTGATGACACTTCCTGGAATAAACCGTGCAACGGCACAGAATATCATTGAGTATCGAAAACAAATTGGAGGATTTAAGAAAGTTGAGGACTTGGCTCTTGTCTCTGGTGTTGGTGCTGCAAAATTGAACACAATAAGGAATGAAGTTTGTGTGTCGGTGAAAAGAATGATGAGTGCAACTGAGGGAAATTCTGGTGGAAGTTCGTTAAGCGGAAGTAATAAAGATTTAGAAGTTTTTACAAATGATTCTGTGAAAAAGAAAAATGGGAATTCGAAAATGAATATAAATTCTTCAAATGTTTTCCAATTAATGAAAATTAATGGTGTTGGACAAAGTCTTGCTGAAAATATAGTAACTTATAGGGATAAGAAAGGACCCTTTAAATCTATAGATGATCTAGTCAAAGTGAAGGGCATAGGAAATAGTATTTTAAGTGCAATACGATATCAAGTCTGCTTGGATGATTCTGAGGACCAAACATTCATGAATGGCAATGTCACACATAAAGACGATTCTAATTCAAACTCATCATCTATTAACACAACTACATGTACAAGCAGACATTTATCTGAATCCACAGAAAATATGTTGAATATTTTAGAACCTATCATTAAATCTTCTTCTCGACCAAAAGTGACACCATTCAATTTTAAACATAAAAACAAAGGCGTAGTGAGAATAGCTAGTTGGAATGTGGAACGATTCAATGAAGAAAAAGCTAATAATCCTGGAGTGAGAGAAGTTGTTTGTATGACAATTCTGGAAAATGGGTAAGTTTGTCACATTTATTGGATCATAGTGGTAAGATAAAGGAGAACTGTTGTTCCCTGTAAGCTTATCTGCATATAGTTATCACAAGTAAAGCTAGTCCAACAGCCTGAGCCTGATAGAATACCATTGGTTCTGTTAAAATGTCACTAAGGCATAGTAGAAAAATAAAAAAAGACAGTCCTTGCCTCTAGGCAAGAAAGGTTATTGTTAAGACTAAAATATACAATACAGTTTTGCACATATTTAGTGATTCTGAATCAGTGAAAGATCACTCTGTGTGTTTATTTTGTCATGAAATAGAAGTTCCTAATGATATTCAGTTCCAAGTGGAAGAAATATTCTGTCCTATTATTTCAATAGGAACAAATATGACAGTATTTGTTCCTTGCGTAATAAAGGGTATAGAATATTTGTTCCAATAGGAACAGATAGGAAGCATTATTTATATCAAAGTTTCCAGTGGAACTTCTGTCAGGGGGAACAAGTATATGTTAAAAATTTCCCACAGTGATGAATGCTGGTGATTGTTGGGTTATTCACTCTGAAGTTCTCTCTGCATATTCAACTTTTTTTTACAGTGATTCTGTTCACTCAACATCAGCAAGAGTGATGTATAACTCAATCTCTATGTGCATACTGTATACATTTGCACTTGTTAAAACTAATGATTCAGAAAGTTTTCCCACTAAGCAGTTTTAAAACGTGACAATCCTCCCATAACCCAATGTGATTGAAATACCATGTGAAAATTGAAACATTGGTATTTACAAAGTTGCCCTTTAGCTTTATTTTTTTGGCATTACATGTTAATAAACAAACAACTTCAAGCTGTGGCTTATTTATAGTCTATCTGTAGATGTTAGAAACTTGTATATATATTTGTATTGTTTTGTATTTTACTTTGCATAATTTTCATGTTTTTACTCTTGCTTAAAAAGCAAGTTATATTAAAAATGTGTTGTGGGAACAGTTTATGTTTTAGATGATGAGATAGAGTAAACACATTTCAATATCTAGAGATTTGATCTGATGGGCTAATTTGATTAACTCTATTGCTTTCAAACTTTACTCTATCATTTTAATAAATATTGGAAATACAAATGTATTCAGAAAGAAATTAATGGTCAATCTATATTCAAATGCTAATGTGCATTTATGAATATTTGTTATTTTAAACATTAATCTTATGAATTAGTCAATGAAAATGAAAATGTCAGAATTGAAATTCTTTTGTTTGTTTGTTAGCTGTAATCAATTCAGTCATTGACAAATGATTGAATTTGATTCTTGATATTCAGTTTTTAAACTTCAATATTTGGATACTTTTTAATAACCACTGACATGTAGATATTTTTTCAAAACTTATATATATATGATATTGTACACTTATTGTTAATTAAAATGAAACAGCAATCATGGAAATTTAATGCATGTATATTCATTATTTTAAATAAAAGTATACATGCACACTGTGGTGACTATAACATGTACATGAATTTGAACCTATCATACTTTCTGTTACACAGTTTTTAAAAGTCAATTTAAATAGATCAATTACTTTGTAGCCTTAGTTTTCATAGTTATAGATGCGCACAATTTAGTACACTTAATTTAAATTTTATTTGTTTCCTTGTCCTTTTTTATAAACTTTCAATGAAAGTCCATATTATTCTGGATGTATGATAAGATTATCATTTTGAATCACTGTATCATATTTATGGCTACATCTAGACTAGGCAAAAGTTGACAGATTGTGAAATGATAAATTTATTTAAATGTAAGCAGTAATATTTTATTACATGTGGATAAGGTCAACAGATAAAGAAATGTGCATGCAATCATTATTTCATCAGTTTTAAATTTGATAAATTTTCATATATTGTCATGGTCATGTGATGATTGTTACATGTGATTATTATGATTATAAATAAGTTAGTGAAATTTTCACAAGGGAAATTTTGAAGATGAATAAAAGCCAGGTACATGTAGATCATGTAGATGATACATTTGCATGTACATTGAAAAAAATTCAAAATCAATTTATTTTAAATGCAGAAAAAAATAAATGTATATCAAATTCTTAAACAAATGCTGACTGCACAAGTAGCACAACCAGTTATTTTTTTCTTCTAGATATTATTAAATTTGATATAGGTTAAAGTTTTATAAATTTGAATTGAAAACATAGTAACAGGTGATCACAGGTGCCTATAGAGCATGTAGAGTGAAGGAAGGAACCTTGCTATGAATTGTAAAGTAGTAATATAATCATGATGAAGCTTGCAAGGAATGATAAATAGGCAACAAGTCTGATTTACTGCCAAGATTTCATGTTGTAGACATTTTATAGGTTATGTAAGGACATGATCCTAAATCAGTTATTAACAGCTAAGTAAGTCAGTTACTGAAATCAATGGCATATTATTAAATAAGGACTGGAAGAATGGAATGGAATTGATGAAAAGTTATTATACCTTTAATATTTGTTTAAGTATGGTGTGATATTTACAAACAATTTTTTGGAAATTTTATTTCTTTTTTAATTGCAGATTTGGTTTAATTGCATTTCAAGAGCTTGCTGATGAGAAAGCATTAGAAAAGGTCTGTTTCAATTAATATTTAATATTAAAAAACACTAAAGTAGTTGTTACTGCATGGGTTTTGATTACCAGTACTAGCAAACAAAAATTCAGTGCATTTGATGTTGGTCATATGATAGTAGGGATAACTAGAAATTCAGCATTTGAATTTGTCATTTACCCGGTACATGTAATGCTAAATGGAGAATTGTTCTGAACTTCAATGATAGGTTTTAAAAAAGGTTTCAACAGCTTCAACCGAGAACTTTTTTTTTTATTGAAAATACCAAATATGAGGTCTTGACGGTTTTATCAGCCCTAAATTTGCTTATTCCAAGTTATCTTTAACAACATAGTCAGTATTAATTAAAATATCGATATAAGACTGTAAATATAAAACAATATACATATATAAAAATAAAGAAAATAGTATGAAAATTAGTTAATGCAAAAAGAAATAGAATTTTATGTACTGTGTTTATTCTAAAGATGAAACAATGCTTGTATAAAATTTATCTCATACAGATATGTGATGAACTAAACACTCCATCTTTATCATGTACAAAGAAATGGTCAGGACGTGGAGGAAAATGGAAGTTTTTAGTATCAGAGGCTACTGGTAAGATGTATCAGGTACATACATTTTCTGATTGATTATAGATTAATGTGCGATATTACTAATTACAAAAACTACTAGGTAGGTAATGGCAGGCTGCAAAAACCTGTAACAACCAACTCATTCAAGAAGGCAAAAAAGAATAAAGAAGTAAGGAAAGCAAAGCTAATTTGTCTGAAGAAGTATAGGTACAATTATATATAAAGTGTTGCCAAACCGACTGATTTCAATTGGTACTTTGAATATTTCAGACATAGCTACATGCATATACCTATTCAGTGTGTAAGAGAACCCCAAAGATACCTGGGAGCCTATGTAGCAGTGTGGTATTTCATCTGTAGTGATCACTTGTCTGTCAATACTAGTGAGTTTGATCCCCCCTCCTGGCAAGGTGCCTTTGAAATCCAATACAACATGTAGTGAATTTCAGTTTGTTAGTCTCATTCTGCTATTAAATCTGTGAATCAACTTTGTGAAATTGTACCGTTACCACATGAAACACAGACAGTTGTACTATGAATATAGAGTATTTTCACAACACTGGTTGAAGCATTTATAGTCAGTATTTGTGGGTATATTTAGAACTGACAAATTGATTGTTGTAGCAAAGTTACTAGGTATTCATGTTTACCTAAGAAAAGTGTGTTATTGTACCACTATATCAGTGATAATTTGTTTGTACTTAGGTGGTAGATGTAAATAACTTATCAAATAATTACTGTAGATAGAAAGGCTCTTATCCAAGTATTACATATTATATTTCTTCTGATAACCAACCCCCCTTGTGGAATTGGCAATATTTTACAATGGGGATGTTATCATTACTATCTTGACTAGTGTTCTCCTCAGTATTTTTAAATAGCATGGTGACCGTGGAATTTGAAATAGCACTGTTTACCTAATATTATAGCTTCACATTTATAATACATCTGTATATATGCATTCTATTGGAAAATCAATTCAGATAGCACCATGGTAATAAATATAGCATCACACTAAATGGGTGTCTTGCATTATAAGAAATTTCAAAATAGCTTCCTGTATAGGCATGATAGGTAACATAGTTTGTTATTGTAATAATTAATAATATTACTGAGGATTGAAATTCTTTGAATTAATAATAAAAGAGAATTTTGATGAATAAATGAGTTTTAGTCAATTGTTATGAGAAGTTTAAAGTCATCATTTAAATTTTTTAAGGAATAAGTAATATTTATATTGCAGTCTAACGAATACAACGGCTTCCTGTATGATGTTTCACAAGGGATAACATTAAATCATTCTGCATTGCTGGAAAAACCTAATAACTCACCTAAACCATTTACGAGGGCACCATTTATTGGAACTTTTAAGGTATGATTATTATTAATTTTGAATGAATATGTATATATAAGTTTTACCTCTTCACAAATTTCTTGTATACTTTCTTTTGAAAAAGGTATGCTGAAATACGGAATCATCCCTGATGTTGGTCATACTATTAGGTATTTTATTTATCATGTTTATGGCGTCATATTAAAAAAACATTTAAAAAAAAAAAAAAAATCTTCACTGTTTCAGGTGACCAGAATGACTGATTTTGATTTCATCTTATTGATTTTTCTACTGTTATGAGGACTTTTTAAAGTTTTGTTTTGAATTTTTGAAGTCAAGATTTAACCGCATCTTTACCAAAAAGATTGTTGTAACTTGAAGAAATGGACACATGTAAATTGAGAAGTAACTATTTATATACAACTTGGGAAGACTGTTTTTCTACACACAATAAAACCTCGTTACATGGAAATAGCCTGAAACAATACTGATACCCAAAACAAACACTTTTGAAAGATTCTAATGCAAATTTTTGTTAAAACATTTCTGATTGGACAAAATTGAAATTTTTCATAAGGTTAATTCCACAGTTGATTTCATCAAAGTGTTTTCATTATATGTATTGCATCATCTCTGATGATAAAAACTACCTTAATAAGAAGTTAATCTGTTGTACATGTAATATAACAGCAACTAATGTGTTTAAGTTTAATGTTTCCAATCATTGATCTATCATTTGATGGTTGCAAATAATCATTTTCTCACTCTGCTAATGCATATGATGTTCGCTTAATAGTATAAAAAAGAAAGGATATAGAGTATCCATCCATGACACAAAATCAGTAAATGCACAGCAAAAAACACAAAAAGCTAAGGAACAGCACTTTTATTGCTGTTCTTCATCTCAAAGTCACAGTGAGGCCTTCAACACAGAGCAAAACAATTCTCACTTCACTGCAAGTTTAAGACAGCCCTTAGCACCAGTATGAGTGGAATTCTTATAGCTTAGCCTTTAACTAACAAATGATTTCTTGATGTTGGAAAATTTTACTTTATTTTACATAAACTTTTTAAATGACAAAAAGTAAGTGTTCACATGAAAGTGTCTAGTGTAGGAAATGATAATTGACTGATTTAGAATTACTTTTTTTTAGATGAAGAAATTTGATTGTATAGTTGTGAGCGTACACATGAAAGCTACAGGTTTAGCTAATGAAGACTTGGACAGACTTCAGGAAGAAATAGATCAAGTACCCAAATTGATCAAAGCCATAGAACAACAATATCCAGGTAAACCTAAAATAAAGGCCGAGCAGATACGGATGTGGCAATGATAAAAAATAAGTCGAAGAAAAACAGACAACATCATGGCCAAAAATGAAAACAACACAAAAATATTAGCTACTGTTCAAGAAAGACAAGGCGGTCTCTTCCCATATAATGGTATATGCAAATGTGCCACTGGTTTGGGTAACTTTTTTCAGATGTCAAATATATCAATGGGGTGCAATTTCATGGGGTGTTTATAAATCTATATGTTAATGGGTCATAAATGTTAATTTTCTGTTAAGATGTCTGTAAAATCTATGTACTAATTTTTTTTTCTAACAATATAATCTTCCTATGAAATATAGGTATGGATAGACATTTTGGAAAGAATCAATATATGAAGAGGGTGGTTTTTAAACCCCAGACAGACTTCTGTTCCAAAAGTTTATATGCTGAGAACCCCAAAGAACCACTACAAAGAAAACTTAAAATTGAGCAACATGAATATGGATGCCACAATAACTACGATACTATAAAATTGGTTATTTAACAAACTTAATGTACTGAAGTGAAAAAAAATTGAATGAAATTATCAGCTCTGTTAAAGACGATGTAATTTTTCTTGTTTTTAGGGGAAGAAGACATTATAATGTTAGGAGATTTCAATTTAGATCCACAGAAAGAAGGTATGTATTGCATGGCAAAGCATCTTGAATGTTACAAATGGGAAAAATTCCTTTTAACATTATTATGTCAAGTCAATACCCTATTATTGTCTATATAATGTGTGCGTATTCATATTATTTAAAAAAAAAATTGATTTTGCAAAGTCTGATGTAATGCAAGCTTTTGAAGGGGTTAAATTGATGTCATGAAATTGGGCAGTATCAGATGGAAATAACATTTCATTGATAATTTAATGGATTTCAGGTTTGAAAGAATACTTTTGTTACCAGATTTAAAATCAATTCTAACTTGAAAACATAAAAAATGAAATGGATAGAATATACTTATTGTTTCATTTCAGATTTTGATGTAATGCGTAAGAAAGGTTACGATAATTGTCTACCAGCAGGAGAATATACAAATATCAGCAATAACAACCTTAAAGGAAGTCAGACTTATGACCATATATGGATAACAAGTAGCACTAAAAAGGCATTTTCAGGTATGACCATGCTATGGGTATTAATATTTGGTGTCCATTATTATGTGTTTTGAATTGAAAGTAACTATGGACATTTAACAGGCGAACAAATTTATCATTTTGCAACTTACAACAAAACAAAAGTAAACACATTGTCTATAATGGGCAGAAATAGGCAAAAAGTAAATCTGTCTTTACAAGATTTCACATTTTCAAAATAAGTATAGTGATTATACACTTATTTACTGAAGTGCCATTATATATTGGTTTGTCCGTCTTCTGAATCGTTCATTCATCCATCTGAACTTTGCAATACAACTAATAAACCAGAGACTGGGTTTTAATGAAATTTGCATCATAACTTAAGAACATAATGGCATCCTGCACTTCCTATTTTGTCCAAAACATATGTGTTAAATGGCCATTTTAAGTCAAATATATTAATATCAATAAGTTTATGACATCACTATAACACCACAAATCATTTTTCTGCACTGAAGTGTCCAGATTGTTTTAATCTATTCATTTATCAATGAAATTAACATAAATCTGAAAGGATTGATAAACTTTACTGTTGTTACAATTTCAGGGGCCAAATAAGGGCTCTAACGATACCTCCTCCTTTTCGTGATGTGCAATTAAGATCAATTAAAACTTTTTTTATTGAGGGTAAAGACTTCTTGAGTGAGAAATGCCTTATTTGTGTTTAATTTTCATTTATGAGCTTTCATCTTCCAAATATGGAAAGTCGAATTTTTTGGATTTCATTATTTATGGTATTTATATATCTTGTATTGTCATGTGCCACATGATTTTTGTATACACTACCTCTGAATGTTTAATAATCTTGATCTACATATAATAATCTATTTATATTTCTCCTGATTTCAGGTTATTCAGGTGTTGTAAGAGAAGGTCTAACAAGTCCTCTGATACCTAAAGGCTGGGCATGGGGAGGTGTTGTCAGTGACCATTGTCCAGTATGGACAGAGTTATACACAGGGAAAGATTTAGATTCAGCAGATTTGACCATCACTCCAGATACCATTAAGTTTACTCTCGATGGTTGATTTCAAATACTGTGGAAAAAAAACAGATACATGTATATATTTTCAGAGGCCTTTATCTTACAAGGCAGCAGTGAACAAAATCCAGCTTTTGAATATAGGATAATTGATTTCCACTGATCACATCGGGAATCACGATTGAAAATTCGTGGAGGAATCCGAATCCAGAGGAGCAATTAATGAAACATTTGTAACGGTTGGTAGGTAAAATCTGAATAAGAAAATCAGATTTTACTTACCCACTGTTACAAACTTTTCATTCATTGCTCCTGGGAATTGGGATACCTTTGCGGTTTCGGATCGGGATACCCAGTGTGCTGATGAATTTGGGAAATTTATTTACCTAAAAACTATCAATTCTAGAAAGTTGTGGGAAAGCATGTTCAGTCTGATAGACAAGAATTATAAATGGGTTGTAACCGTAAGGAAAAGATATTATACCTCAGACATAAGATTTTATTTATAATGTATTTTATAAAAGAGACAAGTGTATATAGATTTTCTAATAAACACAGATGCCAAATTAAACACTTACTCACAGAAAAAGAAAATTTTGTACCAAGATTTTATATATCTGGGCAAATATTAGCCAAATTGTTGTTCAAATTAAGATGAATTTAATATACAGAAACTACTTATTGTTTATAAAAAAAAGATATGAAGGCAATGATTTTTGACATGTATTACTTAACCCAATTTTTTGAAGTTTTAAAAATTTTGCTTGCAAGGTATTTGTATTAATAACTTCATCAATAGTAAAATATTTTAATTTCCCAATGAACTAAATTCCAAGTGCATGACTGAAAGAAATTTAAGCATTATCTTTCTTTTGACTTTGAAAACTGTTTTTAATACTACAAGGGTACAATAAGAAAATATTAATTATGATGAAAGTAGAAAGGTTATTTATTACAAGTTTATAAATGAGATTAATATAGTTATTGCAATAATGACTCTACATGGTAAAGCAACAGTATTATATACATTTTATTGTGAATTTGATGACATATTAGTTTTTATATGAAGATTTTTTATTGTAAATGTACCACACCAAGCAAACTACCTGCTGGTGGTAAAATAAATTAGAACCAAGATGTTTGAGGTGAAGATTTATACTAGAAAGATATGTAAAATTGGAAGTTAGATGTTTTTTCCCCACTTTTTGGTTTTTCAATGGGGCAGTTAAATCTTCAGTGTGTTTCATTGTTTGCATTCTACAGTATTGTAAAATGCATTTAAATGGACAGTTAAAGTGTGAGCATAGGCATGGTAAATTTGGTGGTTGAATTCCTACCATTAACATAGCAAACATTAGACGCACAAAGAAATTTCCCGATATATTTTAATTTTTTTGGTAAATCCGTTTTAATTATATTAACAGAGATTTTTTTGTACAAATTGGAACTTTTTAAAGCAAAAGGCTATTAGTTAAGGCTATGTAGTTCTCATGCGTAACAAATGTTAACTCTTGCTATTTAAAAATCATGTTGAATTATGGGTGTCTTGTATAAATTCTTTCAGGATGGCTTTCTAGAAATTTTTTATCTAGTCAAATATTTAAATTAGATTTTATTTATAATTTAAAATTAGATCTATACTCTAGTTTGAGTTAAGACTAATATCATAGCATAAAAGGGTAAATAAATTTATTTCCTTCTCATAAAGATTTAACATGAGAACTTTTCATATTATTCATTCAAGAAATGACTAATTCAGTTGCTAAAATTTGACCATATTATTTAAAAGTGCTACCAAGTATTATGTATCCATGTCATACTTTTATATGCATATATATAGTTTAAGTTATCAAACTTTTAGCTTAAATGCATGTATCCATGTCATATTATATTTGCATTATATTTAAGATATCTAATTATTATCTTTAATGCATTAAAATTAAGTTACAAATCTTTATTTTGAAAGCATTTGTTTTGAGGTATTAATTTATACCTTGGGTACAATGAATTTAGATATTCTTTTATATCTTGTGGACCAGTTCTTTATGGTTACTGAATGCTATTCCTCTATAAAGTGAAAGCTATGATGCAAACCTAAGATTACCTGGTCTACAAGAATGAATGGGGTCTAGATTTAGTGTATAAATAGGGTTGTTCAATTCAAACATATAAGGTAGCCAAAACAGACTCTTTTAAGGGACACAATTGCCTCCATGGGTTAATGGAAGCAGACCTATCTTGAGTGTTGGAGGTTTTGGATTCAATTCCTGAATAGGTCAAAGCAGACTTTTCAAAATTACATTTGCTGATTCTGGTTCTGGCATGCACCATTTAAAAGTAAGAACAAAGATTTTTCAGGTCAGAGTCTGAATAATGTTTCTGAATAAAGTGATGCCTTCCTGCAGACTCTTACCTTCTTAACTAGCATATTAAAAATTTTTGATCAGCCTCTCAATCTAGTACAAAACTGGATATCTTCATATCAGTTTGGGAGGGACTTTCCTGTTTTATAAGTTTTGGAGGGCCTTTCCTGTCTGCTAAGTTTGGGAGGGCTTTTCCTGTCTGCTCAGTTTGGGAGGGCCTTTCCTGTCTGCTAAGTCTGGGAGGGCCTTTCTTGTCTGCTTAGTTCGGGAGGGCCTTTTCTGTCTGCTTGAAATGTTTTTATGGAACAGCCCACATAAACATTGTATTTATTGTCATGAAAGTGTTGTAAACTTGTTGTAAGTGACTTGTCATACATAATATAAGTCAGAATGTATTATTTGTTTTGTTATTTTTGCCACATCATATTTTTACATATTTGCGATATTTTCACAGCAATACATTTTATTTTTCATGCAATGTTAACATTTAAATGTCTCATTTGTATTTTTTTTTTGTTTTTTCATATTTTTATATATTTTTGTAGCAATTTTCAATGCAAACTTCAGCTCTATTAATTGTTTATCCGTTAACAATGCAAAGATGATTTCAAATGTAAATCATATCAAATTTTAAAGTAAGAACATATATACACAAGAGGTATATGTTTTCCCAGTTTCAATTTAAATTAATTTTTGAATGAGATTTTGGAAAACTTAAGTATTAAAGCAGTATTGAACAGTAAAATTCTTTCTATTCATGTCCAGTTAAGGTCCAGGAACAGTTAATAAGCAATTTTCCACAGATTTTATTAACTTTTACATGTTGAACTTTAAGCTGAAAATCGAAGAAATATTTAATAAAACTATTTCATTTGCTTATTTTAAGAATATTCATTCAGTAGTATATCCGAAAACAAAACAAAACAGATAAGTGCATTATTTTATTACTTAAATTTAACATGAAGAATTTGTATGTCAAGTCGATTAAAATATGGAACATCATCTGTTACTGTTAATTTGCCTAAATACACTTTTGGTATAATTTGAAATTCTTTTTATACATCTAGTCCATTTCCTGTAAATTTGTTAATCTTGTATTATTGCTTAGGTTATAGTAGGTTGTTGTAACATTGTCATCATTTCTACTTTATAATAAAAATATGCATATAAAGGCCAGTATATTTAAAAGATTTCACCCAAATTTTTACTCATACGAATATAGATTAGTAGAAATAAAATGGTTAAAAAATCAGTTAATGTAAGGAAAAAAAATCAGAAATGATAGCCTTTCCTGTGCAAAAATCAAGAAGTGGAAAAATTCAGAAACTTAATACCCTTTCATTGCAGACATTTGGGGGGGGGAATAAGAAATTCATACTTTTCTATTGCAAAAAAAAGAAAAAAGGAGATAATAAGAAATTTAAAACTTTTTCATTGCAAAAATCGTAAATGTTATATTCCATTGCAAAAATCATAAATTTTATATTCCATTGCAACAATTAGATATTTATTTTTTTACAATGCAAAAATCTGGTGGGGGAATTCAGAAATTTATACTTTTTTGTTACAAAATTGTGGATAGAGGGAATCAGAAAATTATGCTTTGCAGAAATTTTAGGCCTGACACATGCAATTGCTTATTTATAAATAAGACAATGCCTGCCTTATAAACATTTTCTGCTTAAAATATGCTTTTTCTTATTCATAGATTTAGACATATTGATAATGCAAAAATAAGGCCTTTTTATTAGAATAAACTAAAAAGATATATATATATCTACTTTCAGATCACAACAAGAAAAAAGGTACATAATTTTATCTTTTAAATAAAATACTAATGATAGAGGAATTATAGATAAAATTTAACATCCAGGGTATATTGGTGTTAAAGATTGCATGTTGAAAAATAGTGAAAATAAAATTAAGAAATTGGAATTGATATTCTGCATCATTAATAACAATTTTTTTATGTTTCAGATTATTATTATTTACTTATGCTGAAGAAGCAATAGATTTTTGTTATAATTTTTTGCTCAAATAAAAAGTTATATGAAATTTCGTGCTTTAATATTCCATCTGGCTCATGAAGTTATTTGTGAGAACCACTTTGTATTGTGTTGACTTGAATGAATCCGCATAGCAGTGACTACTTTAATAGTTTTCTCTTTGGAAAATGAATTTTGATTCCTATTAATTGCTCTCAACACAGAAAGCAGGAAAATGAACAACACCATATTAAAATTAATGTCAGACCTTGGTAGTCTCTGTTGAATTTATTACCAACCTGTTTAGATACAGGACAATTGAGAGCTTGACATATAGTATGAGCACATTTCTAATATTGAAGACCTTTGTTTGATCTCTGTTCTTCAGTGGTCAAAATTCAAGTAAGACGTTAACTTTTCTTGCTTTCCTTGGAATTTCCTATTGTGATGTCACAAAAAAAGGCAACCATGTCTGATGATGTTTCAAAGAAAGAACATTGTTTTTGCATATGATTGAATGGAAAAGAAGGATTAAGTATATCTGCATATGGTCGAAAATTATAAGAGACCGAATGTTGATAGCTACAAAAACTTGGTGAGCCTTGGGTTTTAAATTTGAAAATTTAACTGTTCGAGTTGAGAAACACTGTATGACACCCAATGCAGTGGTAGAATCTATATCTATGCAAATATTTAGTTTGTTGATACCTTTAATTTCCATTCTTTCCCAATTCTTCGATTTGACTGTATTACAGCAATTCTTTTCCTTTAGTTAATATTTTCAATCTATCTGTCGTTAATCAATTCTTGTTAAGTTTCTGTCTGCTTTTTTGTTTTTATTTCACATTTATATTTTGAGTTGTTATTGAGTTACACCTTGGTTGGTAAATCTTTGTGAAAATGCAGTTAAAATTAGAAATAAACTCACTATCACTTGTTTATGGAAAAGGGTAGCAGTTTTCTACTCTATATGGATTGAGTATACACAAATCAATCCACACATTTTGTTTTCCTGATAGATGGCATAAATAATCTAAAAAGGCTTTAACTTAGTGTTATATATTTTCCTTTGTAGCAGTGTTAAGTAATTGTTTTTTTATTGCCATAATATATGAAAGATTTAAAGTACATTTATTATTTTCTAAAACGCACAAATCTGCATGATCACTCAAAAAGTTTCTCTTAATTGCATTTGATTTTTGTAAACAAAAACTATCGAAGATACCGGAATTATAAGGAAGGATGCTAGTTAAGCATTACCGGAATTATAAGGAAGGATGCTAGTTAAGCATTACCGGAATTATAAGGAAGGATGCTAGTTAAGCATTACCGGAATTATAAGGAAGGATGCTAGTTAAGCATTACCGGAATTATAAGGAAGGATGCTAGTTAAGCATTCCATCTACATAAGACTCATCGGTGGCACTTGAATCAAAACGAAATTAATGACGAAGTTGGAGAGTTTTGAAAAAAAAAAAAAATTCCTAAAAGTTGTGATAATTTTTAGGATTATTTCATAACATGTTTAAAACAGTAATTTACGAAAAATGACTGCATAAATGATAAGACAGCTTATTTAGTATCTGACATTTTTGGGCCAAGATAACTGTTTTGAAGAAAGAGTCTAAAATAAGATAAATGGTATAACTTAATAATTTGAACAATTTTCAATTTGAATTTAATTTTTGATATACTATCAAAACCTTGCAATTTTTTGCTTTGTTCCAAAATCCCTTTCTTTATAAACAACAAGAAAAGATTGCCTGACATATTAATTGTTAAAAGTAATGAAAAAGAAGCTGTTCAATAATTAACATTTGTGCTGTTAAACTGTTTGTGTTGTTAATTGTATTGTTTTAAAGCACCGTTCGGTTCTTATGAGCCAAGGACGTATAAATAATCTAATATACGTCCTTGTTATGAGCGAGATATGCAATTAATAAATATAAATATTATGAAAATATAATTGTGACATATGATCTTTTGGCAATTGGAGCATGATCTGTGTTAACAATATTGTCACCCACTTCCCTCCTTTTCCATTATTGCTTTCTACATATCTGCAGGGATAAAAATTACTTATAGAATAAAACGATGTATCAATGTTAACACATGAATTATGTGACTGTTCAAAACCTTCAAAACATAAATAATGACCTATTATATCCGGACACATAAATCCTCATAACCTAAATACATGTAATTTCAATTGTAATAGTTGAAATGAACATGATAACTATTATACTCGGCTATTTAATTTTATAATATTACTGACGATTTATTATTACACGTGATTCAAACCATTTACCTTACGTTTGTATTTAGTCTATACACGACCTATATACAACAGCATTTAAATTGTTTACAAAAGTATATCCAATGTTTGTACACATATTTTGTACACGTTTAAACACCTTCCTGTTGATAAACGAAAAGTCAGACTTACTTGTAGATAGTACTACTTTCATATACATGTATATAAATCATGAAATTGTATATAAGGTTTGAGAAAAAAATACTGTTTGGTAAAGTAACGTTATAAAACGGAATTTATAATGTTATAATATTTATTGATTAAGGATCGATTTAACTGTGATATTTATAGACGGATTTCTCATTGTTTTGAAAAATTCATTCATTTTATGGTTTAAACATGGGAATAGTGAATAGTTGTTTTAATTGTGAAAGTCAGTTTGGTGAAATCGAAGAGAAGGAGGTGAAAAGTAACTACGAAATAACTGAAACTACATGTATGAACAAACATTTATCTGAATCCACGGAAAACATAATAAATTTGTTAGAACCAATAATCACGATCATAAAATCTTCCTCTCGACCGCAAGTGACACAGTTTAATTTTAAACATAAAAACAAAGGTGTAGTAAGAATAGCTAGTTGGAATGTGGAACGATTCGACGAGGAAAAAGCTAATAATCCTGGAGTGAGAGAAGTTGTTTGTATGACAATTCTGGAAAATGGGTAAGGTTCACATGGTTCATGACAAAAATCCTTCTTTTCGACAGGATATTCTAGATTAGAATTACTGCTTTGATGGTTTTACTTTCTTTTCGACAGGATATTCTATATTAGAATTACTGCTTTGGTGGTTTAACTTTCTTTTTGACAGGATATTCTATATTAGAATTACTGCTTTGGTGGTTTTACTTTCTTTTTGACAGGATATTCTATATTAGAATTACTGCTTTGGTGGTTTTAAATTCTTTTCGACAGGATATTCTAGATTAGAATTACTGCTTTGGTGGTTTTACTTTCTTTTCGACAGGATATTCTAGATTAGAATTACTGCTTTGGTGGTTTTAAATTCTTTTCGACAGGATATTCTAGATTAGAATTACTGCTTTGATGGTTTTACTTTCTTTTCGACAGGATATTCTATATTAGAATTACTGCTTTGGTGGTTTAACTTTCTTTTTGACAGGATATTCTATATTAGAATTACTGCTTTGGTGGTTTTACTTTCTTTTTGACAGGATATTCTATATTAGAATTACTGCTTTGGTGGTTTTAAATTCTTTTCGACAGGATATTCTAGATTAGAATTACTGCTTTGGTGGTTTTACTTTCTTTTCGACAGGATATTCTAGATTAGAATTACTGCTTTGGTGGTTTTAAATTCTTTTCGACTGGATATTCTAGATTAGAATTACTGCTTTGGTGGTTTAAATTTGTTTTCGACAGGATATTCTATATTAGAATTACTGCTTTGGTGGTTTTACTTTCTTTTCGACAGGATATTCTATATTAGAATTACTGCTTTGGTGGTTTTACTTTCTTTTCGACAGGATATTCTAGATTAGAATTACTGCTTTGGTGGTTTTAAATTCTTTTCGACAGGATATTCTATATTAGAATTACTGCTTTGGTGGTTTTAAATTCTTTTCGACAGGATATTCTATTTTAGAATTACTGCTTTGGTGGTTTTACTTTCTTTTCGACAGGATATTCTAGATTAGAATTACTGCTTTGGTGGTTTTAAATTCTTTTCGACAGGATATTCTAGATAAGAATTACTGTTTTGGTGGTTTTAAATTCTTTTCGACAGGATATTCTAGATTAGAATTACTGCTTTGGTGGTTTAAAATTCTTTTCGACAGGATATTCTAGATTAGAATTACTGCTTTGGTGGTTTTACTTTCTTTTCGACTGGATATTCTAGATTAGAATTACTGCTTTGGTGGTATTACTTTCTTTTCGACAGGATATTCTAGATTAGAATTACTGCTTTGGTGGTTTTACTTTCTTTTCGACAGGATATTCTAGATTAGAATTACTGCTTTGGTGGTTTTAAATTCTTTTCGACAGGATATTCTAAATTAGAATTACTGCTTTGGTGGTTTTAAATTCTTTTCGACAGAATATTCTAGATTAGAATTACTGCTTTGGTGGTTTTAAATTCTTTTCGACAGGATATTCTAGATTAGAATTACTGCTTTGGTGGTTTTACTTTCTTTTCGACAGGATATTCTAGATTAGAATTACTGCTTTGGTGGTTTTAAATTCTTTTCGACAGGATATTCTATATTAGAATTACTGCTTTGGTGGTTTTACTTTCTTTTTCACAGGATATTCTAGATTAGAAATACTGCTTTGGTGGTTTTACTTTATTTTCGACAGGATATTCTATATTAGAATTACTGCTTTGGTGGTTTTACTTTCTTTTCGACAGGATATTCTAGATTAGAATTACTGCTTTGGTGGTTTTAAATTCTTTTCGACAGGATAATCTAGATTAGAATTACTGCTTTGGTGGTTTTACTTTCTTTTCGACAGGATATTCTAGATTAGAATTACTGCTTTGGTGGTTTTAAATTCTTTTCGACAGGATATTCTATATTAGAATTACTGCTTTGGTGGTTTTACTTTCTTTTTCACAGGATATTCTAGATTAGAAATACTGCTTTGGTGGTTTTACTTTATTTTCGACAGGATATTCTATATTAGAATTACTGCTTTGGTGGTTTTACTTTCTTTTCGACAGGATATTCTAGATTAGAATTACTGCTTTGGTGGTTTTAAATTCTTTTCGACAGGATATTCTAGATTAGAATTACTGCTTTGGTGGTTTTAAATTCTTTTCGACAGGATATTCTAGATTAGAATTACTGCTTTGATGTTTTTAAATTCTTTTCGACAGGATATTCTAGATTAGAATTACTGCTTTGGTGGTTTTAAATTCTTTTCGACAGGATATTCTAGATTAGAATTAATGCTTTGGTGGTTTTACTTTCTTTTCGACAGGATATTCTAGATTAGAATTACTGCTTTGGTGGTTTTAAATTCTTTTCGACAGGATATTCTAGATTAGAATTACTGCTTTGGTGGTTTTACTTTCTTTTTTATGTATAGAAGTTTATAAGGTATTAGTTTTTCAACTGTACACAGTTAGCCTTAGAAAACGACGTTTAAACAAAACGTGTAGCATTAATTTACTTCATTTCAGTGGCTTTTGTAAAAAAATATTCAACGGAGATATTTTTCATTGTTTTAATATTTGAAAATTTTATGTTAGCGCGTGTCTTAATAAGAGAGGATGAACAAGAAATTAACAAAGGTGTTGAAAATACGTTTTTAGATCTCACTGATAAAAGATGTAATAAAAAATAGCCGAACTCCATGGTAAATTCGAGAAGGAGAAGTCAATAAAAGAGAAATGAAAGATACCAAAGGGACATTCAAGCTCATAAGTCGAAAATAAACTGACAACGCCATGGCAAAAAAAGGAAAAAAGACAAAAAAGACAAACAACAGTATACAAAACACAACATAGAAAACTAAAAACTGAGAAAGACGAACCCCACCAATAACCGGGGGTGATCTCAGGTGCTCCGGCAGGGTAAGCAGATCCTGCTCCACATGTGGAACCCGTCGTATTGATAAACTGACAAAACCAAATGCTCGACTATATAACCAAACAGAACGATTGGAAAACAGCTGTCACTTTCTTGAATTTGTACTGAATTTTCCGAAGAAAATAATTGGTTAAACCTGGTTTTATAGCTAGCTAAACCTCTCACGTATATGTTAGTTGTACGTAGTTTTGTTATATTGACAAAATTTAGTGAGCAACCCAAACAGATATGATTGGTTAACGTGACAATAATTTGGATCCAACAGCCAAAATTGTGTAAACATACATCATAGAAATACAACATAACTATTTAAAAAACTCCAAACAAACATGATATTTTTTTAGTTGTTATTGGCTTTGAACTTGCTGTCAGTAACTGCGAGTACTCTAAGTGTACTTAGTGTCTTTTTGTTGTGGGGATGTATAAGTACCCTGCCACGTCCACTCTGTGTTTTTGTTAGATGTATTTCTGCTTTGTATCCATCTGATGAGTTAAGCCCTTTTTAACTGATTTTTATAGTTTGTTCTTATGTTGTACTATTACACCACCTTCCCAGGTTAGGGGGAGGGTTGTCGCTTTCAAACTAGTTTAACCCCGCCACATTCTGTATGTGCCTGTCCCAAGTCAGGAACCTGTAATTCAGTGGTTGTTGTTGTTGCTGAATTTCATATTTGTTTTTCGTTCATTATTTTGTACATAAATCAGTCCGTTAGTTTTCTCGTTTAAATTGTTTTACATTTGTCATTTCGGGGCCTTTTATAGCTGACTCTGCGGTATGGGTTTTACTCATTGTTGAAGGCCGTACGGTGACCTATAGTTGTTAATTTCTGTGTCATTTGGTCTCTTGTGGAGAGTTGTCTCATTAGCAATCATACCACATCTTATTTTTATATTAAACATACAATTAAATCAAACAAATATGATAACATATACGTTTTTTGCAGTTGATAGTTTACTTACTAGTAATCTAGTATTAACATTAACTGTACCAATTTGACTGCACCATATTCGCAATTTGATACTAAATGTCTCTCCAGGGATGCCCGAGGTCTAGATATTTGCAAAAAACAAAACTTATACAAACGTTGAAGAACTTATCAAACCAAACAGAACCTAAAGTATAGAAAAATCCAGACACGGAGTCAAAGCTTTGCATGAGGGAGATATATTCCTTAATTATACTACAGTAAACCATAAGGATATATACACTTTTCAGATAAAGTACAAATTAAGTAAAATATTAATACGAGAATAGAACCACAGGCAAGTCATCAAAGTGTGAAGTGATAAAATAAAGCTTAGTTCCAATCCTTAAAGACTTCAATTCCACTTCATTGCTACAATACAAATGTTACCTAAACTTTTTAAGGAATTATTTTAATTTTAATGGGTCATTTGAAAGGTAAGATAGTAACTTTTGAATTGTTAAACGAACTTCCAAATTTAACTATTTTCAATTATCTCTTCTAAAAAGTCTTTTTCTATACAGGCTTCAACGTTGTCTTTAAATTCAAATTTAAAATAGTCAGTTAAATATATCTTTAGCTAAAATATGTTTTCATAAAGTGTTAAAGGGAAATAAGACACTCCAATCGATATTCATTTATAAAGATATTGGATTATCTCCCCATGGAAACCTATTGACAACGTATTGTAGCTTCGAATTTACTTTACTGAATGTTAATTCAAACTGATGTCTGATTCTTATCAACATAGAATTTTGAATGAACTGCAATATGTGGAGAGCAACACTAACAAACAAGTCACAGTAACATTTACTTGTTTTTTCATGACATTTCAATTAACCAATTTGTTACAAGATTGTCCATGTCCTATAAAAAGACGACATTTATATAAGCTTATATAGCTTTAGATTATTTGTTACTTTTAGGTTTGGTTTGGTAGCATTTCAAGAGCTTGCAGATAAAATAGCATTAGGAAAGGTATATTTAAAAAATGATATAAAAAGATATAAATGAAAGTTTTCAAATGACACAAGGAACAATAAATTACTACTCTGGTATTTAGTAATATTCTTAGAATAGCTGAAAATCAAGAACCACAATTTTATGGTTTATATGTATGGACTACTTGTATATAATTACGGTAAAACATTAAGTCAAATTTTACTATTGATACGAACTGAAGACCGTTTTTAACAGTTTAAAACGCGCAAAAGTGCAGGTTATACTAAAAAATAGACTTTTGGTTCCATTTTTTCAACAACAAAACAAAAAACGTGTTAACAAAAATATCAAACTCCAAGGTAAATTCAAAAAGGGGAAAGTCAATAAAACCTGACAAAACCAAACACTCGACTATACCAACCAACGGAACAACTGGAAAACAACTGTTTTATTCCTGACTTGGTACAAGCATCATCTGAAAAAAAATGGTTTAAAATTAGTTTTAAGCTAAACTCACACTTGTGTGACAGGTATATATAGTTCCACCATATTGAAAAATTGCATGATCAACCTAAAAAGACATAATTGGTTAACGGGCCAATAAGTGGGATCCAGCAGCTAAAATTGTGTAAACATACATGATATATATACAACACAACTGACTTAGACAATCCAAACAATCGTACAATTAAATCTAAAAAGACGCAAAACAAAAAAGTTTAGTACTTGATAGTACAGTCTTGGTACCTTCCAAGGAACTTTCTTTGACAAAACCCTGAGTCATTAATATTTTGCTGAGACACCGATGACGTTTTACAAAGTCTGAGTAGCAGTTGCAAGCTCTTGAACATCGTATGAATTGAGAAATGTATACGCGGGTGAAGTTGGTATTTCGCTGAAAATTGAAATCGTCTTTTTTGTCATAGACTTTGGTTCTGACATGACCTGTGCAGCCAAATTCGAGTTGTATGTCTAAAACTGATTCAAGACTAGTACAAAACAAAGAGGAATATTTGTAGTAATGAAATCACAGATAATTGAAATAATTGGAGACATGGAATTAGATAACTTGCCACAAGTTATGACACCTAAATAATCCCAAAATTTGTATTTTCTACAATTTTAGTTCTTTTATTTCTTTTTAAACAGAATAACTTTACGTTGTTTATAGATATGCGAGGAGCTAAATACTCCATCATTGTCGTGTACAAAGAAATGGCATGGACATCGTGGAGAATGGAAGTTTGTGGTGTCTGAAGCCACTGGAAGGATGTATCGGGTATATTATATCGTTTTGTTCGGGGATAAGTAGTTATTAAATGCACCTAAGTTTTTGAATCACAAATTGAGACATATCTGATATGTTTATTAAAAAAAAAGACCACAGGAAAGGTCATTACAACCCATAGGTCGAAAACGAAAAGATAACAACAGTATACAAAACACTGCACAGAATTAAGGAGAGACAAAAAACCCATTGCGCAATCAAAAACCATAATTCAATGAAAGACAAACAAAACAATGGCCAAGGAAAAACTAAGATAAGACAAACAGCAGTCAACAAAAACTACACATAAAACTAATGATTGAGAAACTGCAGGATTAACTCCAGTAGAGTAAAATCTTTACAAAAGAAAGAAAGATACCAGGCTTATAAATTTGTTTGCAATGATGCGTTTCGTGTGTGACACTAAAATCGCATCATTAAGTATGCCAAATAAAAAACAAAGTTGAAGAGCATTGAAAATAAAATTCCAAAACGTTATGCCAAATCTAGCATTTATCATCTGTTGCTTGAGGTAGAAAAACTTTAGTGTTTCGAAGAAGTTCATGCCCGCTTGTTGGACCTGTCTTTTTGGTCATGGAAAGTAAACATCCGGTATTATAACAATCGATATTGGGAAACCGACAAGAGGAGCATGTTCTTGGTCATCTTTGACACGGATATTCAATTACTGTCGACTAACTCATGATGACTCAATGATAATCATCCGTAAAACGGATTACTTTAACAATAAGAAGCATTTATTCAAAAACGTTTTGTGAGCTAACAAGGAAAGCACGAAATTAAATGTGAACTTTGAAATATTGCATCAAAAAATGAGAAATATACTCCATATACAGGTACCACAAGAATGTTTCTACATGAAAATGGAAAGTACACTATTGGAAATTGAGACTAATCTTTTTTGTCGTAGTTTAGTTTTCAGCCGACGATCATTATCGATTTCTCGATATACATCATATATATGAGCATTCTTAACTGTAACTTTAATATATTTTTATTCCATGTTAAATGGGAAAGATGCTATAAACATAGTCGACAAACAAATAACTATTCAGCGAGGGATATCAAGAGTATAGCGACAGTTTAAATTAAAGAATAATGTTGGATTCTTTTCTTTCTTTCTTTCTTTCTTTCTTTCTTAGCAGCTCAATGTGACCAAAACTGGAGGTTAACGCTCCTCTGTAGAATGGATAACCAATTAGAGCTCCATTATTAACACCCGAGGCGTTACTCATAATAAATTCGATAAGTTATAATCAGTGATAAGAATTCATACCATAGCCAATTGGTAGATGTGTCTTAGAAATAATCAAATTCATAAACCTTCGGTAGATATAATTTGCATCTCAATAAATCTTTTTCGAGTTAAGACAAAAAGTTCGAAAAATCGAATCGGACGAAATATCACACAGTTTGACAGAGTAACTTGCATGGCTATATAAGTTTCTTGTTCTTAAGTTGGTACCATAACAGTAACGTAAAATGAATTTAACTTGGATATTATTTTTAATGAATTTACAAAATACAATGTGTTTAAAACTATTGCAGAGTAATGAATATAATGGTTTCCTTTATGACACTTCGCAAGGAATAACCTTTAATCATTCTGAACTGCTGGAAAAGTCCAAAAAGGCACCGAAAGCATTCACCAGGGCGCCATTCATTGGAACATTTAAGGTAAGTTAATTAAATTAGAATAAAGACAAATATTTTATCAGCAGGTATATCCTATGACCCATTGCGAAGAAGTATGAACACATGTTATTGTTTATTGTGGAGAAACTATACCCATGATGCATACTAAACAGGATCTTTTCACCCTTTTCGGAGCACTTCAGATCAACCACAGTATTTTTGTGTTCGTGTTGCCTGGTTTTAGCTTTCTGTGAACTTCAATTATTTGTAAAATGCAACATTTTTTTGCAGATTAAAAAATTTGACTGTGTTATAGTCAGTGTACATCTAAAAGCGACCGGTTTAGGTAATGAAGATTTAAGCAGACTTCAAGAGGAGATAGATAAAGTACCTGAACTGATTAATGCCATTGAACAGCGGTATCCGGGTAAGTAATATATGTTTTTGAATATGCCTGTGGTATACAGCAAAATATAAGCATGTCTTAGTTTCTTTTGTTTTCTGATATATTTAAGAATGAGTGAAGAAGATAACTTTGGAAATACGACCATGCATAATGCTGCCCTAAAGGCTGTTTTTAAACCAAAATTAAATTTCCAACCGTAATCAGGCTTTCTGACAAATTCCCAACGTTTTATTGCCTCTCAGTAGTCGTCTTCCCCACTTTCTAATGTAATACCTCACATATTAGCAAATAATCTCATCCTAGATACCAGGATCAAAATGTTATACACCAGATGCGAATTTCGTCGACTAAAAAGACTCATCAGTGACGCTCGTAACAAAAAAAGTTAAAAAGGCCAAATAGAGTTCGAGGTTGAAGAGCATTGAGGACCAACAATTCCGAAAGGTTTTACAAAATACCGCTAAGTATTCTATTCCTGGGATAGAAGAAAATCCCCGAATTCCGAAAGTAATTACCAATTATTCCTGGGGTAAAAAATCCTTAGTGGTTCGAAAAATTAAAAGTTTTGTAAACAGTTAATTTCTAATTATGAACATATCAATGATACTTCATGTCAAAACAGAAGTGATAACTACTGGGCTGGTGATACTTTTGGGGAGGAAACCTCAATCAGCAGTGGCCAAACGAATGGGTATGAAATATTAATCACAGTTGTATCTCATCAAAAACCTGTCTGTTTATTTATCATGATCAGAAATACTACAATAGGTATTATCAATCAACACAGATGAGGTCTGTTAAGGTCCTTTTTGTCATATAGATCTTAACAGTTCTACATATTTACACAACCCTGCTACATTATAAATAGAAAAGTCAAATCACATCGCTTGCTACATTTTCAGAGATTTTGTGGTTATTTATGAAGCTTTACCATATCTTCTTTTTTTTAAAAAAATATCCCTTGTTTTTAAGAGTGAACGCTAGTTGTTATACAAAATAAAGAGATGTGGTATGATTGCCAATGAGACAACTATCAAATAGAGATCACAGGGCGAGGATGTAAACATCTACAGGACACTGTAGGGCCTTCGACATTTGGCTTCCTAAACTGTTAAAATCGAGCGTAAACTATGAAGATTATTCAGGAAACACGTGTCAAGCGCACTGAAATCGGATTCATACTTTAAGAAAAAACTTTTGATTCAACTCGTCTGTAATATGTAATGTTTTCAATTAGAGATATTGTGAACCCTAAATATTGCGATCGGAGAAAAAGATCATATTTCTTTTCAACGCGTTAAGAAACTGAATTAAGAAGAGGATTACTTCTGCATTTCTGTTGTTTGCATCTATGTGTAACAAATGATCGAAAGTGAAATTATTTCTAGTTGTCAAATACTTGCTTAGTACATGTGGAGAACTATAATTTATTTGTATTTAAAACCGCTTGTTGTTTGCAGGAGAAGAAGATATTATCATACTGGGAGATTTTAATTTAGATCCACAAAAGGAGGGTATGTAATATATTGTAATGTTCAACGGAATCAATGAGTATAATGAACAGGAGAAATTTTGATGCATGAACTTTTTTTTCAACTTAATATTTTACTCAGTCTTTTTCTTTGTGTTTTATGTAAATCATCCGTATTGATGCACAAAACTCCCATACTTTAATTTTTGTCCCTAAAAAGCAACAGTTGCATCCGAAATCTATATTATTGAGAAAGTGTTGAAATTACTGGTGTTGAAACTTATGTACCGGTCACCAAACGCAAACTGGTTTACTCGGGGAAGATTATTCAACACTAAAAAGTAAAATCACAAAAATACTGAACTCCGAGAAAAATTCAAAAAGGAAAGTCCCTAATCAAATGGCAAAATCAAAAGCTCAAGCACATCAAACGAATGGATAGCAACTGGCATATTCCTGACTTGGTACAGGCATTTTCTTATGTAGAAAATGGTGGATTGAACCTGGTTTTATAGCTAGCTAAACCTCTCACTTGTATGACAGTCGCATTAAATTCCATTATATTGACAACGATGCGTGAACAAAACAAACAGACACAATAGGTAAAAATGTCAAAAATAGGGGTACAGCAGTCAACATTGTGTTATCATCTTAATCACTATTAAAACAAATACATGTAACAAAGAAGCACAAAAAGGCATACATCCTCATTTTGCTTTTTTATTATACGATTTTATTTATCTATGTAAAATTCACCCATAAAGGATGGAAGGTTTTAAGTACTGGCGTAGAATAGCGCGTTTGACGTCACACTGGTAGATATAAAATAATTTTGCCGTTCAAAGTATGACGGGATACATAAGTACAGAGTCACGTCAAATGGATATCACAAAAAACAGACTTAACAGTAAAAGTAATATTAATAAAGACAAATAAAAGAATACTATAACACGTTATTAAGATGATAAACAACGTCAGTACGCAGAATCTATACTTCAAGACCATCGTGTATTATTAGTGAAATTGATACGGAATATTTATCAACAAGGTCTTGGTACCTTCCGATGAACTTTTTTTTAGAAAAAGGACGAGACGTTCTTTGACATAACCCTGGTTCATCAACTTTCTGCTCAGACACTGGTGACGTTTTACAAATTCTGAGTAGGAGCTGCAAGCTCTTGAATTCCGAATAAGTTGGGAAATGTATATCCCATATGCACGTGAAGTTGGTGTATTGCTAATAAGGTGGGGGAAATTGATAATTTCAAAATTAAAATCGTCTCGTTTGTCATATTTTCTGGTACTGAGATGACTGTGTATGTCAAATTCGAGGTTAAAGTCTAAAAATCAGGCGGAGGAAGCCGTGTTTGTTGTTTCTTTAATTTCTAGTTTTGGAGGATATATTAATGGAACCCAATCAGAAAAGTTCGGATTGTTAATGGAAAGAACATCATCAATATATCTGAAAGTGAAATTAAATAACCTGGCTTCTTTGATCTTCTTGTTTTTGACAAGTGTCTGAAGGAACTCCGATTCACATGAAAATTAGAAGAGATCGGCAAGGAGAGGTGCACAGTTCGTTCCCATAGGAATGCCGATAATTTGTTGCCAATAAGAAACTCCAGCATACTGATCACTTGTTCCTCTGTGTAGCATGTTTTACCCTTTTGTTCACTATTAACAAAATATGCCTTATGGTATCCCAAAATAATAAATTTATAGCGTTTGCTACCATTTTTATGTTGAAAAGCATTGTGGATTATTTCTTTTAGACGGTTTTTCAATTTCACATGGGGAATGGTGGTATACAAGGTTGAAAAATCAAAAGTTTTGATAGAACTAATTTCAGAAAAAGACCGAGATTTAAAAGTATCCAGAAGTTCTTAAGAGTTTTTAAGAATCCACATATGGTTAATACCACTACGTGAGTAAACACTTTCACAGTATTTCTGAAGACCCTCTTTTACTGCGGACAGAATTTTAGTCAATCTATTGGACAATTCTTTAGTGGAACATGCAGATGAGCCGGTAATGTACCGCTGTTTGTACGGAACTTTGTGAAGTTTAGGTATCCAATAGAAACAAGGTAAGTCCTCTGATTTGTTGTTCAATGCAATGTTCATTGAAGCCATGAAGGACTTATGATTCGCCAAAATCTCATCCTTGTCAAATGATATGTTTTTGTATGTGGGATTACCTGAGTGCTCATTTATTCCTAATTCTTTTACAAGACACTCGTAGTAATACGATTTACATACAAAGACAATATTATTTGAAGCTTTGTTAAATGAATGTTTAAATTAAATCAAATTTAACTTATAAATCGGAGGAAAAGTTAAAACTTGTATGAAGTACATTGCCCATCTGTCAAAAATACCTAAATTGGAAAATAATATAATATCACCTGATCAAATGCAACTGAATAAGATAGTTGTGGTTTTATCTGCAGATTTTGACATTTTGCGGAAGAAAGATTATGACAATTGCCTTCCAGTGGGTGAATTTACGAACATAAGCAACAACAACCCTAAAGGCAGCCAAAAGTATGATCATATTTGGATAAGTAACGGCACCAGAAAGGCATTTTCAGGTATAGAAGAATATAATTTGTTGCTCTTGACATTAAGATTGGCTTATTTACAGGTATTGCATCATGTTGTAAAGAGTACAACAGTAACAAGTATTCATGACAGTGTATGAAACTTTATATTTGCCTCTGTTGATTGAGGTCTCGGGATGAATAACAAACAAAATAAGGAAAACTTATGTGTTCTATAATTCGTAAAAATCTAAAAAAAAAGAAGGTTGTTCACAGAACGAGTGAATCCGATATATCATCTTGTTTTTATATGGTATACACATTTTATGTTTGACATATCTTATATAGAGATGACCAACTGCAATTATCTATTAAAAATAAAGTTGTCTCCGATTACGTTTTTATGATGATATTTGTGAGGACCGTCTAGTTAGATGCTAGATGAATTAGTTTTCTTTTCTTGTATTTGAAATGCTAAATGCTGTTTTTAAATCAATGTTCATCAAATAATTCGTATCTCAAATTTTGTACGTCGTCCTCCACCTGATACCTTGGGTATCTGGCATCACTCTAAAATGTATGATGTGTCTTTTTACAATTACACAATTAAACTGTTTTAAAAGCATGTAAAACCGATTCCAATGTGTTCGACATGACGGAATAGCCTTTATGATATAAACTTTAAAGAAATGATATTTTACATAACTTATATTGTGCAGTAAAATAGTTGGTAATAGATCTTAGCTTTGAGCAATGTTAAAGAGATATTAATACTAGTAGTCGAAATGCGAATCTGGTGCAGTAAATTGGTATCATCAGCTCATTAGGTAGTTATTCGGTACTGACATGATTTAAACCATACTTAATGCTAATACTGTCACTGGGTCGATACCTCTGCTAGTAGACTGTAACTTCCCAGGAGTATCGCCAGACCAGTAGCCAGTACTTGGATACTGGTATGAATATAAGATTATTATTCAATTAAAATTTGCCGTTATACAATTTTATAATCCATTTTACATTAAGGAATGTATCTCCCTAATTCGTATCTCTGATTCTTTGCCCGGATTTTGTTTTTACTTTTGGTCATTCTTTGTTATTATAAAATCTTCAAAGTTAATTGTATTTTGGACTTTCATTTAATTTGTCTTCAACCATCGCTGGAGAGACATTATCTGTTGAAATTGCGCATCTAGCTCATTAACAGTGGTATGGTTTATGTAGTTATTCGTGTTTAATGGACTACAAGCTATAGTGATAACAATTTTTCCAGTTAAAGAAGGACAATATCTATGAAAAAAACAATTACCACTTACAAATGAATTATATGTCCGTATCAGACGTAAACAAATGTAATATAACTTCGTCGTTCATATTTGATATCATTAATGTTTTTCAGGTAATTCCGGGGTAATTAGAGTAAATCTGACAAGTCCATTGATACCTAACGGATGGTCATGGGGAGGTGTTGTCAGTGACCACTGTCCGGTTTGGACAGAGCTATGCACAGGGAAAGACTATGACTCAGCAGATCTAGATGTTATTCCAGATACTAATTTTACTCTTTGATATTTAATTTGAAGCATAAAATTATATGACAGCAGAAGAAAAGGATCATAAGAAATAGAGTATTCACTTGATTAATACGCCCTCTGTGTGCAATATGGTAGAAAAAGGATAATTATAAATGAATAATTATCTCATATTCAAATATATATCAAGCATGTTGCAATACATTTCTATTATTACTCATTCAATTCATTCAAACCACTGGACGTATTCGTAGAGGGAAAAAAATATATTTACTGGAAGACTGAGCAGTTTAAACAATATCTGTTCTTGAAGTAATAAACAAAAGCAATGACATATATATGTATATATAGTGCTAGACAGAAAAGAAACAATAATCTACCTCGAATATAGTTTTAATCTAAATACAATTGTGTTATATATTATTTTATTACTGTAATTTATCAAATAAATTATTACAAATCCATTTCAGACATATGCATTATCTTTAAAGCTCGAAGTGCTCTTTGCAATTATCCATCATGAAAAATAATCCTAGAAAAAAATTAAGAATTATAATGAAATGAAATACATTGTAAAAAAACCTCATCGCTTATATTTACAAGGCTTATATTTGATACGCAGAACGCACTTTTTGTCTACGCAAGACTCATTAGTGAAGCTTGAATCAAAAACGTTGATTCGAAATACGAAGATGAAGGACAAAAAATCCCCAAATTTAGAAACATTGTGCATAAATACGGCTCAGACAAATGATTTACAGTCTGAGAAGTTTAGAAACCTTAGTTTAAAAACAAATTTTATTATTTACGGAGCATTTACTACAGTGCAGGTAAACAATAAGAGAGGCAATCAGTGATGTACCTTAACAAATTTCCTTTCCGTTAGTGCAATCGCTTTCTTCGGCGATATTATTCACAATAGATTTCATAGTGGAAACGTTTGACTCGTCCCTTCGACAGTATCTCTGAAGCTAGCATGATTTGGTTGGCTGTCATTGAATATCTGTATCACAAATGAGTATGGATATGTTCCAATGGTCAAAGAACAATCATGTCCTCACATCCTCATTACAAAATCATTGCAAAAAAACCCCGAAAATCGAAGAAAAGACAAATGCAAGTATACAAAAAAAGACATAAAAAACAGACTTAGCAACAAAAATCAAAATAAAAACAGGGGTTGCTTTCTAGTGCTCTGGTAGAGTATGAATATCTTGCTCCACATGTGTCACCCATCGTGTTGTTAATGGAAAGTACAAATTTGGCGTCAAGTATAAAAGTGATGTCACAATTGACGAAAAGAGAACGGAAGAATGGTAACGACAATGCATTCCTATGTTTTCTGTAAGACAAGAGATTTTCACCAATCTGCTACTTTATAATGCAAACTCACCTTATATAAATCGTAATCTTTTTATCTCAAGAGTTACACGGTATGTGTTGCCAGTGGAGTAGAATCTGCTGACCTTTCCGGAGCACCTGAAATCACCCCCAGTTTTGGTGGGGATTCGTGTTTTACTAGTATTTAGTATTATGTGTTTTGTTTTGTAGACTGTTGTTAGTCTTTTCGTAGTTATTTCTTCTGACCATGGTATTGTATCTTTTTCTTTGTTTATGATTTCTTTATTTTTTATACCAACAAGTGGTAATTTTATACAAATAACCGAGAAATTTAAGTACAAAAAACAGCCTGACATTAACAGTCTGAGTAAGTACCAACACAGTCTGATATTAACAGTCTGGATAACTACCAAAACATGTAGCTCGATATTAACAGTCTGAATAAGTACCAAAAGCAGCAAGATATAAACAGTCTGAATAAGTACCAAAACAGCCTGATATTAACAGTCTGAATAATTACCAAAAAAAGCCTGATATAAACAGTATAAATAAGTACAAAACAGCCTGATATTAACAGTCTGAATAAGTACCTGTTCGATACAAAGTGTAAAGAGCAAATTTTAAAGTGTCAAATGTGTATAAATTACGTTTCATGTACTGAAATATGTTCAACCTTACAGTGACATGTTTTTTCCTGTTTGACAACTCATCTGTGTCGCATATGAACGCATGCATTTACGAAGCAAGAATGGAAGTAAATGAAAAGAAATGAAAATCTATGAAAAAAAAATTAAATTGTAAAGGAAATAGAGCTATGGTAAATAGTTCGATGAAGAATGCCTTGCTACCAAAAGTTGAAAAAAAAAAAATCATTGAGAACTTAAAGACATCGAAAAAAGAGATGGAAGATACTTGAGGTACATTTAAAACTCATATGTTAAAGATAAAGTGTCCACGCAATGGCAAAAAAACCCAGAAAACATACGAAGGGACAAACAACGGTCTATAAAAGCTACATAGAAAACTCATAATTAGCAAAACGAACCCATAAAAAACGGTGGTATCCAAGTTGTTCCGGAAATGTAAGCAGATCCTGTTCCATTTGTCTCACCCATAGTGTTTGCTCCTGTAACTACAAATTCGGTAATAGGTTTCATCTGGGGATGTCACAATCGAGAAAATAGGGATGTGATTGTAGTAACGAAAATTTGAACATAGCCATGGCGGAGTTTAATTTATTATTTGAGATCTCAACCTCCTACTTTTAATTTCGGCCAGCGGATTAACAAAAATATATAAAACATACATTACGAAACGGTACAGGATATGTACTTTACTCGGAAAAAACAAAACCAGAAGTACAAACAAATCAATAATTCAAATAGTGCTCTCAACTACTGAACAATCTCAACCTCCCCTTTTAATTTCAGTGGACTAACCGGGATACATACAAAATTTACAATTAGTACAAGAAAACGATTTTACTCTTGTAATAAATAAAAACCAAACCAAACGCGAACAAAACAATACTTCAAAGAATGTTCTCAGGTACTGACAGGAAACTCATAGTACTTATCTGTTTATATGAAACCGTGCCGTCACGCAATCAAATATAGGTGAATATATTCATAAGAAGTGTTCATAGAGAAACATTTTAAATTGTTAAGAAGACACGACCTTGTACAATGCAAGTTAAAGACTTAAATAATTTCTTAACAAAGACAAAACAGAAGGCACATTTCAGTCTAGCTTCTAACAATAAATCTAATCTACGAACTAATGTTCATTCTCCAAAACATACCAGACACCATGTTTAAACATCAACACTTTTAACCAATAACTATATAAAACTAAAAGTCTGTGAAGTCAATGCAAAAACGCGTAAATAAAAACAAACTGATATATGTGCACTTCATAAAAAGGAAAAAATGAAACACCACAGTTAAGAAACAGAACATTTACAATATGAAAAGAAAAGTTACCCCTTCATCATAAATATTGGTATAAAAATATTCCTGAGAAATCGTATACCAAAGTCTAGTACAACATAGAAAACTTAGGATTGGATATTGATGTTTGATTTAGTAAGAGTGAATCTACTTTGAGAATTATGCGTAAATTTTCCTTATTTATAAAGACAGTTTGACGATTGCGACAGATTGTTGAATAAGCTACACCAAGAATTATCGAAAGAGCACTTATTTCATAAAAAAGTGTTTGCGTGATAAAATTGTGTGGTTGTGTAGAAAATTCATAACTGTCAAGAGAGACAAACTGTAAAAGAACGATACTTATCCCAGATTTCCAAATTGTTTTGTTTTTACATCAGAGAAATTTAATGACTTTATCAACATTACCTTTGTCAACATAATTTAAAGGGAGTTCCTTAACGGTTGCAATGGCAATAATGAGAACAATCGAAATATGTGTATTTTCAACTATTAGGTAAAAGCATATTAAAACGTAATATATTTGTTGCAACTTTCTATTTCTATATGTAGCAACATTTCACTAGCACCTGCATATGGAGTATATATCTTTCAATTGATACGATATTTCAGAGCTTGCCTTTTCTACAATGATATCCTTGATATAGGGTTGCTGCTCCTATTTTCTTCGAATGTGACCTGCCTATTTAGACTTATCTACGGGTTTGTACTTACACGAAAAACACGACGGGTGCCACATGTGGAGCAACATCTTCTTACCTTTCTGGAGCACCTGAGGTAACCCCCGGTTTTTGGTGGTGTTCGTGTTTCCAAGTCCTAAGTTTTCTATGTTGTGTTTTGTATACTGTTGTTTGTCTTTTGGTGGATTTTTTCGGTTTTTGCCATGCCATTGTCAGTGCGTTTTCGACATATCAGTGTGAATATCTCATTGGTGTTTTTCGCTTCACTTTTATATGCTTTCATGTGTCATTAGGAAGGCAATACTAAAAGGGAACCTTGTGGCGTTTAGTATTAGCATTTAGTTAAGTCGTTATTGAGGAGTGTTTATCTGTAAAGGTTTCTAACGTTGAGGTTAAAGGAAGCAACTACTAGTACTTTAATTAGGAATCTCAGTAGTGTTGTGCTTATGTTAAACAACGAAGACGTTGAATGCTGCTATGTTAGCAGGTACAAACACAAATCGCTTTCCGAGTGTATTTGATTTCCAATGTAAATCTAGAAATCGTTTTAGTAGAACCATTTTGTACAAAGTTACTTCTGAAATGTTTATTACGATGATCAAAAATGATCGTGAATGGTTTGAAGAAGAATCCATTGTAAATGTTTTACCAGTTTTTCACTTATCTGAATGAATATTGCAGGAAGAGGAAATAGATCCGTTTTCGACTTGATGATTTTACTTAAAATTAGTTGGTGGAGACGTTTGCTGTTCCGGTCTTTTCTCTGACAAATCATAGCCTTCCTGTCTTGGAAAATGTTAAGTTCTCTTGCAGCAACATCTCCAGGAGGATCATACCTTCACCTCGACCTTTGACATTCTCAAGAAGTATGAATGTTGTTTTAATTATCAACGTCAGAAGGGATAGATGGTTGACTGATATTTTGTTTTCTGCTAGGCTTTTTGGGGTGTAAGATATAAATGGTAATTCAATAGTATTAAGAAATGGAGACGCATGTTTGAACCTTACAATAAAATTGATAAAGTCAAATCCTCTTTAAGCATATTGTAGTTTCTAACAATAACGTTTAAAATCTTCTTTGACATTCTCAGAAAGTATGAGTGTTGTTTTAATTATCAGCGTCAGAAGTGGTAGATGTATAGTTAACACTACAAATTTCTACGATAATTTTAATGAATGGAATTAAGTTAACAGATTAAACAAAATTAATGAAAACAACACTTTATAAACTTCATGCGTTCAAAGTGTGATTCTGGATTAATCTTCATCAGGAATGCTCAATTATTTGAATTAATGACTTCCGTCTTTTTTAAGGTATTTCTCAGATCCTTAAAATTGACCGTAAAATGACTATGTTGTTTTTGTTATGATTGATAACTTATAGATAGATGATATTGAAGAAAAAAACTAGACAATGTCCGGATCACCTGATAACAAAGTTTAGGTGATCCGCTCATTGTCTACATTTTTTAGTTGAAGTTTTACAGTTTTTTC